TCTTCCCATTTTCAATCTTGCAGATGATTTCTTTTTCCAAAGAGTTCCCTTTACCTCAATTTTTAAAGGAAATAAAAATTGTGCATTCATCTTATTGCCTTATTTATTTTCAGGGGAGCAAGGGAGAAATGTAGCAAAGAAGGGAAGGCAGTCTAGTTTCTTCCAGTGCTAACATTTTATTATCTAAGAAGCAATAGGAGTGGCTTAAATTACAGAGATGCTGAGCTCCCCTCAAACTAGGGCCAGAGGTAGGACTTCATTTAATTTGATACATAGATGCAGGAAAACCAATCCCTGATAATCCTTCTACCTAAATTCATACCTCTTCTTCCTTCTGGCCACCCTGCTTTCCTATGCTGTGGCCTAGATGATCTGCTTCTTGCCTCAAGTGCTGAAGGTCACCAAGCAGAGGTGGAGAGATGTGCCTAATTTTTCAGCCCATTGACTCAGGAAGCCATGCTTATTGGCTCCAGTTCTAAGGCATCCAAAGAGCATCTGGTGACACAAATGCTCTTTTCTTCAATAGCATGCAAAGTTAAAAAACAAAACTATGGAAATTTTCAAATAGACAAAGGTAGAGCAAATAGTATCATGAGTCCTCATGTACTTGTCATTCAGCATCAACATCATCATTAACATTTTGTCAATCTCATTTCCCCCATGACATTTGTTTGGTGGGTGGGAGTAAGCTATTTTAAAGCATATGGCAGGTATCATACCATTTGCCTGTAGGTGCTTTATTGTGTATTTCTAATATGAACCTTTGTTTTTTACAAAATCACACCACCATTATCACTCTTGATAATGGTAATAATTCCTGAATATTGTTTAAACTTGGAGTTCATTTCCCTGTTTGTCTCACAAATGTCTTTTAACTGTTGGTTTGTTCAAATCAGGGAAAGAGAAAAATTGTCCTTCTAAAAAGAGGAAGCTTTTCTTTCCAGAAGCCTGGCAAGCTCCTTGTGGCTCATTAGCCTGAACTGCATACCAAGCTCCCTTCTGAACCAAACCCTGTGGCTAGGGATGGGCTATGTTAATTGGCTTAGGCCAATCACTACCCATACCTAGAGCTGGGCTCCATCCCATCCACCTCACCCACTGGGGAACATTATAGCTAATGTAAAGCACTTACATTAATTAGGAACAGATTTCCTCACAAAAACCCTTTGGGATAGGCCCTATTTTTATCACCATTTTAAAGATGGGAACACTGAGGCACAGAGAAATTAAGTAGCTTCCTAAAGTTCACACATCAGGTAAGTGGTAGGGCCAGAGTTGAGAGGGAGACACACGAAGCCTCCTGTGTAGCAAAATGTTTTCTTTTGAGCATCTGGGTGGAGGCCAAAGGGCGTCCACCACAAGGGAGGGGAAAGCCTTGGGTTCTATAGAGGGTTTTTTCTGGGGTGGGGTGGGGGGAGTGAGTAACATCTGCAGAGATGGGGAAGGGGTAGTTCCATCCTTATCAGAGGGGATGGGAATGCTGGCATCGCTACAGCTGTCTGTGGTCAGAGTTAGATTTACAATCTTGGACTCTTCATACTCCTGCAGCTTTTGTTTCACAGACTTTATGATCACAATCTAAGTATTGCCTCCTATACATGCTTTTCGAGTTCCCATCCTAAACCGACCGTAGGGTGGAGTCAACTCCAAACCTCTGCTCTTACCAGCCATTCTCTACTGCTTCTCACGGTGGAGGAAGTGGCGAATGCCCCCAACTAAAAATCCAGTAACATGAATAGGAAAGGGAAGGACTAATAATGGGGAAGCAACCATAAATATTCACTACTGGGACTATGGTCTGTGCCTTATATGCTGTTGGGTCCAGTGGAGAGCCTGGTAAAGAACAAAGGGAAGGGCTGGGTGCTGTAACTCATGCCTGTAATCTTAGCACTCTGGGAGGCCCAGGCGGGCAGATTGCTCGAGGTCAGGAGTTCAAAACCAGCCTGACCAAGAGCGAGACCCCGTCTCCACTATAAATAGAAAGAAATTAATTGGCCAACAAATATATATATAGAAAAAATTAGCTGGGCATGGTGGCGCATGCCTGTAGTCCTAGCTACTTGGGAGTTTGAGGCAGAAGGATTGCTTGAGCCCAAGAGTTTGAGGTTGCTGTGAGCTAGGCTGATGCCACGGCACTCACTCTAGCCTGGGCAACAGAGTGAGACTCTGTCTCAAAAAAAAAAACCAACCAACCAACCAAACAAACAAACAAAAAAAACAGTGCAAAAGTAATGCAAAGCTGGGAGACACAGCATATAGGGCATTGACGGTGACCTTGGATGTCTTCTCTGGACAAGACAAACAGAAAACTTACCAAGTTTGCCAGAGTGTTAGTATGATTGACTTAAGGAAGGTCATCCTATCCTTTTTTACATATATATATATATATATATATATTTTTTTTTTTTTTTTTGAGACAGAGTCTCACTCTGTTGCCCGGGTAGAGAGTACAGTGGTGCCATGGCTCCCTGTAGCCTCAAACTGCTGGGCTCAAGCAGTCCTCCTGCCTCAATCTCCCAAGTACCTGGAACTACAGGTGCATGCCACCATGACCACCTAATTTCTATTTTTTTTTTTTTTTTTTTTGAGTCAGAGTCTCACACTGTTGCCCAGGTTAGAGTGCCATGGCATCAGTCTAGTTCACAGCAACCTCAAACTTCTGGGCTCAAGTGATCCTCCTGCCTCAGCCTCCCGAGTGGCTGGGACTATAGGCATGTGCCACCATGCCCGGCTAATGTTTTCTGTATATTTTTAGTTGTCCAATTAATTTGTTTCTATTTTTAGTAGAGATGGGGTCTCGCTCTTGCTCAGATTGGTTTCGAAATCCTGACCTTGAGCGATCTGCCCACTTTGGCCTCCCAGAGTGCTAGGATTACAGACGTCAGCCACCACACCTGACCTAATATTTACTATTAATATTAATATTTACTGAAGGAGGAAAATCAGGTGGGTGGAATAGGGTGCATTCTATTTTAGATGTGCTAATATTTTTAGGTGCAGATCAGCCACGTGGCAGCCAGGAGGCAGTCAAAAGGCAGATCTAACATGGGAAAGAATTAAGGGGGACAAATTTGGTATAGAATTCAGGCACCAAGTGATTGCTGAAGCTATGGGATTGTGTGGGAGAGGGAATAGTTAGAACCTTGAAGAATTTGAGTGTTGTAAGTGGGATGAAGAGAAAATATAGCCAGAGAAGCAAATAATCTGTATAGGAGATGGCACTTGATATGAGTCTGAAGGAAGGGGCTTGACAATGGTAGACTGCGGGGGTTGGGGGTAGTGGAGGTGGTGGAGGAAGAGTTCCAAGCAGAAGTAACAACATGAAGAAATAGGTAGCAGAAAGCACTCCTCAAAGAAGCCATTCAGTAACCAGATGTTAAAAGAATTTGTTGTAGAAGAACTGGAATTCTCAGGAATGGGCCAGTCAACACTGTCACTGTGGAAGAGGAGATGAAGACCAAGAAAAGGCCATTTCTTCTAGGGTTACTGTGACTATTGATATTTGGTTGCTTGGGTATTAAAAGAGTCTAATAGCCTTTGATCTACTTTGCATAAGCTCCAGCCAAAGATATCTGGTAACCTTGAAGTGTCTCAGGTTTCTAAACATCGTCAGTGCTCACCTAACCTAGATTTAGGTTATAGTGTTCCAGTTTTCTCTGTTGGGAGACATCTTTGTGCTATGTTCATATCAGGTGGCTTTCAGGTCTACTTTCGTCATTACTGTTTGTTATGTTTGTTTTTAGTGCTTTTTTTTTTAATGAGAAATTGGATGAGATCATGTTTCTGGGGAAAATAGATAATGGCAGTGATGTCACTGACCACAGACCAAGTGTCATACTGCAAACATATATGTCCTAAGAGGGTTACAAGAAAACAGTTCAAGCTAAGTTTGAGTTTTGCTTTCCCCAGAGATTCCTCATGTGGTTTCAGATTCACAATTTGGTTGATATTGAAAAGACATATAGAGTTTAAAAATGACAAACAGCATTTTAAAGAGTTTCAGAGGCCAGGCATGGTAGCTCACACCTGTAATCCTAGCACTCTGGGAGGCTGAGGTGGGAGGATTAACGTGAGGTTAGGAGTTTGAAACCAGCCTGGGCAATAGCGAGACCCTGTCTCTATGGAGGAAAAAAAATTAGCCAGCATAATGGCGCATGCCTGTAGTCCCAGCTACTTGGGAGGCTGAGGTGGGAGGATTGTTTGAGCCCAGGGATTTGAGGTTACTGTGAGCTATGATGACACCACTCACTGCATTCTACGCAAGGTGATAGAGAGAGGCTTTGTCTCAAAAGAAAAAATTTTCCATTTTTCATCCATCAGACTGGCAAAGGTCTAAGAAATCTGAGAACTGTTGGGGCAAGGGTGCGAGGAGACAGCATTCTCTACACTGATGGTGAAAGAGTTAATTGCTACCACCTCTTTGGAACATACCTGGCAATATTTACCAAATGTACTTCCACTTTGACCCAGCAATTCTGGACAAGATAATTCATTGCAGAATAATCTGTAGTGGCAAAAGATGGCAACGACCAAAAATGTTCATGAGTAGAAACTGGTTAAATAATTACAGCATATCTTTACCATGAATACTTTAGTCATTCATGCCTGTTTATGTATAAAGTAGCTCTTGAACTATATAGTAGAAACTAGTAACATTGGTGGCTTCTAGGAGGGGACTGGGCTGGGGGGACAGGGATGGCAGGGACTTTTCACTTAACCTTTCATACTTTATGAATTATTACTTATATCCATCTCGCCCCAACTGATGCAAAAAAAAAAGGGGGGGGTTTTCTGGTAGTAGAGAGAGTACCAATAGTTTTTAACAAATAGGAAACAAGAGATAAATGCTAACCAAAGAGTCATCCAGTCATTATGGGCATTATTTAGAGAAAGGTTAAGAGTTGAAGGCTGTATGATCTTTCCCACTCACCTTTTTTTTCCACAAGGAAAGAGAATGGGAAGGGTAGGAGCGAGACACACAAAGGAGTCATGAAACCAAGAAACTTGTCAGATCGACACTTTATTGTGGCTTGCTTGTAGTAAAACATTCCACCCCTCGACAAGGATGTTGATTTAGTGGTGGTGATGTTTTCTGCTGGAGACCACAGTGTGATGCTCAAAGGCCTTTAGCCTCATCTTATGTCAGTCTAGTCAATGGTTCCCTATTTGATACTTCAATTAGTTAGAGGAAAAAGCCAGGAAAATCTGGTCTTAACATCCCTAATTAAGATTTGTGACCCATTAGTATAAAGTGCTTATGCTCAGTGCAAAAAGGACAGACTCAGAAGGGCAAGCAGATGCCAGGGAATGTCATTTCCTGGGGGATTGATGCGTCCTATGACTCAAGGAAAGAAAAAGTAACATCAGCCCAAAGGGATCCAGTATTTTCCTTACAGTCTTTCTCCTCTCTAATAGGACCAAACTTTTAATCTGACAGACGTCCATAAGGGTTATTTATTTTACTATTAAGAAACTTGGTTCAGAAGGAAATCCACAGGGTTTCTAAGCACTAGACACTGACTTTAGCTTCTAGTTTCTGTTTGACTCAGCATCAAAGGTTAGAGCAACAGGCTGAGCTCTGGCTGGTGGGAGGCTCAGAGCCCCAGAGCTTTTCTTTAGGCTTCTCATTTGCAAATCAAAGTCACTGAGTATGACAAATCCTTTCCCAAACACTGTCACATCTCAGTGGGAAGACAAGCAAGTGCATGTTAAAAAGCACTTCACTTAGTTTTCCACCAACTGTATGTGACCTATTCCTTATGCCCTTGTTCTGACTCTTGTCCATAGGCCCAATTCTGAAGCTAACCCCTGACTCCCTCTGTTAAGACAGAGAAAAGAAGTGCCCTGACTTCTCAATGGCCCCAGGTGTCTGCATATCCATCCAGTGGTCCTGAAGGGACTGAAAGGAAGCAGGAGAGAAGAGGAAGTAGTTTTCTAACCAATTCAAGGGGCACAAACAGGACTGCAACTCAAATAGGTGGAGTCTAGACATTCAGTCCTAGGATCCTGGCTACCATATTTCTTCCCAGAGTCTTAAAGAAGGAGGCATGTTCTCTTACCCACCAACTCTGCACTAGGGACATTCATGAGAGCCAGCTCTGTGCTTGTGAGCAACCCGATACCGCTTTTGGATGGTTTGCCTTTCTCGCAAATGTGATGGTGACGCTCCTGCCAATGCGTCAGCCGCCCAGACCTGATCGGAGGTGTACACACTCACAGCTTTCCGATGCCGGCACCTGAAAACACTTCTATTCAGACTACCTTCCAAAGATGCACGTTGACTCCTTGTACTTGGGAGAGGAGATACCTGGAAAATTTTTATTCCACAGGTAGCACTTGCCTCAAAGCCATCTCTGAATTTTGGGAAGGGAAAAGAGGTGATCCTTTTGGCGTTATTCTATAATTTTCTGTAAAACCCCTCTAGTTGAGAGGAACTACTACAGCATGCCCACATGGAGGGGACTGTGTACAAACAGGAGCACCCGGGTCAAGAACCAAAACGCAGGGAAGGTTTCCAGAGTGGTAGGAGTCTAAAGTGCCTCTTTTCAATGGAGGAGAGTTTCATTTGTTCATAAATGCTTGGGTGTAAACGTCAGTGCACAGGAGCATGCATGTGTGTGCACATATGTGTACCACACTCACTCACTCACTCTGAGGTAGAAAGAACTGGCCATCTCCAGATGAACACACACAGATACACACAGATTCCACAATTTTACAGAAACATGGCACTTGTGTGAAAGGTCCTGTTCTTGCCCGAGGAGGCAAGTAGGGTCCAATCCAGCTCTTTCCGACCTGGGGCAGAGCCAGACAAGTCCCACTCCACAGGAGGAAAGAGACGAAGGGCACCACCATCACTGCTGTTGCCAAAGTTCTCAGGCCACATTCCCTTGCCCCCTTGCCCAGGGTCACTTTCTGGAGCCTGAGCTGTGGGCACCCCGGGGGTGGCTTGTCAGAAGCCACTGGGCACAGATGTCTTGCACAACTGCATCCCCACTGCTCTTGGCGGCCTGCTGCACCTGCTGGACGAGGGCCGTAGCCCGAGAGTGTTCTTGCTTCACGGCAATCAGGTAGGCAGAACGCAGTTTGCAACATGTCAGGTAGGCCCGAACCTGGCAGGCAGATATAAGACAGTGGAAAAGGAACCATCACAGATGAATCAGAAAGCTCCAGCTGACAGATACCATCTCTCACCTACCAAATTAATAACTCGGTTCTTGCTTTTCATGATATTATAACAACTCTTTAAATATTCTGGACATAGGGTATTACACTGTGTTTTTTTTTAAATAGTATAAAAAGTTATTACTAACAAGCTAAGAATTTAAAAAACAAGGCAGGGCGGCTGGAATCTGGACTCTGTCCTCTCCCTCTGAGGCACTTCCTCACTGTCCCAAGCTCTCTAGCTTCCTCCTGCCTTCACAGCCAGCACTGCCACTGCCCACGAGTTGTGATTTTATAGTTATCTGCGTGATTGTTTCATTGATGTCTGTCTCCTTGACTAGACTTTAAGTTCTATGAGGACAGGGATAGTGTTTGCTTCCTCTACTCCTTGTATTCAAGGTGCCTAGCACAGGGCCAGGCATCTAGTAGACATTCTATAAATATGCATTACATGAATGAATGAATAATGAATAAGCCCTCATACCTCCCCCCAACGATGAACACATAGATCTCCCTTCTCTATTTTTCTGTTTTCAGCCTGCTGAATTAAAATTTTTTTAACAGGAAATTTGGAGAGGAAAACAGATATACACAATTAGAAAGGTCTCATAAAGGTCTAACCTTAGTCCTGACTTGACTTCTCTAGTTTGGATGAGAGGCAGCTCAAAGTACGTGCATGTGTGTGTGTCTCTCCCAGGCTGTCCATCTTATGAATCCCCAGATTGGGGAAGAGGAGAAATCCTTCCTTCCCTGGCCCTGCTCTCATCAGCAGTCCCCTGGTTAGCCAGAATCCTGCGCTGGTAAACAGCGAGGGCCTCACGAGCTGCCACAAAGCTTCTACCAGCAGCTGCCTTTCTGACACAACAGTCCCTCCGAGTTAGTAAAAGGGACTCTTTTTCTTCATGTATCGAGGCTCCACCTTTTTTTGTTCTTGGTCACTAACATCCTTCTTTCCTGTCTAAACTCAATTACAGATAGTCTCCTGCAGCTAGATGTCTGGCATGTTCTGAGGTCACTAAAGTGATCAACTCCTGCTACTTGGGTGTCTGCTTGCTGCTCCTAAGATGTGAGCTCTTTCCAAGCCTTCAGCTCCACTTAGCACCTACGTACACTACATACATATCACAAGCTGGCAGGCAAAACTCCTATCAAGAAAAGAAAGGCATTTTGCCAGAGTCTGGAATATAAGCTCAACGAAGTTGGTTTTTGGCGAGGTCTTGTAACCTGAGATCTCTTAAGTGCATTAGTGTCACTGCTGAGAGAAAAAAACCTGAAAAAATAATAAGGGGTACCTAGATTTTAGTGCCTGTCTCTTCCAAGGATATACCCTCTGTCCTGCTTAGTGAGAGGCTCAGTGAAGGCTTGAAAAGAACCACAGTCTGAGAACTAGGGGACCTGGGTGTCTGTCCTGGCTGTTAGGATCTCATTCTGATTCCAGGAAGGTAATTTTCCACATTGCAGAATGTTAAAATTTCATCCTTTCCAAGATATTGCAAAAATAAATGAAGAAATGTTTAGAACGTGTTCTTTAACTCTGTGACATAAAGACACCCAGGAAATTCAGTCCAGGAATTAGTAATATTGCCCCAGGGAACAGGTAAGAAGCTGTTCGCCTGACATTAGTTTTCATCACGAGGGACTCAGCTGCCAGATCATTCCTCTGCTGATGGCCAGGGCAGCTCAGACCGGTTTGGGTTTCTCCTGCCTCTCCTGGCCTGGGAGCCTTCCTGCAGATGGTGGCAGGACCCATCCAATAGTTAGCAACAAATGGGGACAGCTGGGAATAATTTTATTCTGGCTGGCACCAATTTCCCAAACAGGGAAGAGCCTTTCATAATCAAGGAGAATGAGACACTAGTGGACATTGTTGGTCCAAGGGTTGGGTAAGGCTTTTCCTCACTGAACCTTTTCCCCTCCAGGATAAAGAAATACCTGCTCACTCTAGGAACCTCATTCAGTCAACCTAAAGATGGTAGGGAAGAATTTCCTAGGGCTCTCTCAGAGAAGACTGCAGTATAAAATGGAGATTCAAGAGCAGCCTAGGACACAGTTGTCCTGGGGACAAAGAATTGGGAAAGTGATGTTCACTTGTTCCCCACCTATTCTCTCCCTTCTACACCCCATCCAGATTCCAGCTCCACCTCTGGAGAGCAAAGAAACTGAGATACAAGGTTGTATGGGAACTATTGTGGGAAACAAGGGATAAAGGTGACAACCAAGCCCAAGGTGCTATTCATTAGCACCCCAAGAGTTTGGAGACAATTCTGCTCACCTTGTTGTCATCATTGTGTATTGCCTGGATCAGACCCTCAAGTTCCTGAGCAGAACAGAAACAAAGCAGTTGTGAGAGGGAGAACCCAACACAGTTTTAGCCCAGCCACTCTGACTTCAGGATGGGGATGCCTGCCTGACTTTTTTTGCAGTTGTTTTTTAAGAGATAGGGTCTTTCCATGTTGCCCAGGCTGGAGTGCAGTGGCTATTCACAGGCACAATCCCACTACTGATCAAGCATGGGAATTTTGACCTGCTCCATTTCTGACCTGGGCTGGTTCAACCCTCCTTAGGCAGTCTGGTGCTGCCCTGCCCTCAGGAAGTCACCACATCAATGCCAAACTTAGTGTGGACACTCAATCGGCATAGTGCACTATTGCCCAGAACTCCTGGGCTCAAGTGATCCTCTTGCCTCAGCCTCCTGAGTAGCTGGGACTACAGGTGTGCACCATCACACTCGGCTGACTCTTATTTATATTTTATTTATTTATTTATTTTTGAGACAGAGTCTCACTCTGTTGCCTGGGCTAGAGTGCCATGGCGTCAGCCTAGCTCACAGCAACCTCCAACTCCTGGGCTCAAGCGATCCTACTGCTTCAGCCTCCTGAGTAGCTGGGACTACAGGCATGCACCACCATGCCCGGCTAATGTTTTCTGTATATTTTTAGTTGGCCAATTAATGTCTTTCCATTTTTAGTAGAGATGGGGTCTCACTCTTGCTCAGGCTGGTTTCGAACTCCTGACCTTGAGTGATCCACCTGCCTTGGCCGTCCAGAGTGCTAGGATTACAGGCGTGAGCCACTGTGCCCAGCCTGACTCTTCTTTTTAAATTTAACTCCCACTATAAGAGCAAGAAAGGAAATCTAACCCTAACACTAAGCTTGAGAATTTGGGGAGAAGGAATAGCTCCCAAGAGGCCTGCCTATCTTTGGCCTTCACAAATGGGGGTGGTTCTGTTCACCTACAAGGAAGCCACAGGGGTACAATTTTGTAGGCAATATTCTTCAAAGGCCACCTATTGGCTCACCCTGGCCTCCTCCAGAATCTCAGGGAGAAGCTCAATTCCATTGGTCCATAGGCACTTCCAGAAGCAAACAATATTAGACAATGGGAGGTCAAGGGACACCTTCTGGGGATAGAGGTCATCACTATAAATTTTCTTTACAGGGAAGGTCGATTAGAGTGAGGCCATTATTGCAGAGGGATCTTATAGAGGTTCAGGCACATTATGAGGAACAGAAAAACAAAGAGGGGGATATGAAGACCTGAAATAGATAGAGAGCCGAGAGGTATGGGAGAGCACTCACCTGGGGTGGAATTCTCTTGAATGCTTCCAGGCAGTTGAGGAGGATGGTGTCCCCATCACTTTTGGCTGCCACGCCTGACTCACTAACACACTTGAGCAGTCGTTGTATCTCGCTGTATTTCCCCTTCTCCACCAACTGCCGGGCAGCTCTGCAGTAGGTCGTGGCAGCATCCAGCTGGAAGTCCTGGAACAGGGCATGGGATGATGGGCTTAGGGAACAGCAATAGAGGAAGGGACGTGACATCTGAAAAGCTCCCACTATGCTCAGTACACATAAGCCACATGGACTGTAGTCACAATAGAAAATATGAATATAACAAACACAAAATAAGCATAAGTTCTTTTTTGGACTTAGACATTTAGGAAGCATCCAAAAAAATTGTAGCCTTAATATCTAAAAATGGTAATATCACTTGCTGCTGTGGCACTTTCTGAAAAATTCTTGTCAAATTTCCAAGACTGGTTCATTTTCTCTCTAATGAGTCACCTTTTTCTTGGGGAAAAGGTGTAGGGGGCTGGTATTTTCTACACTGGACACCTGATGCTATGCTCTGTTAAGAGATGCCTAAGTGTTCAGAACAGACAAATTCACCAAAAGATTGATTTGCTTAAAACTGCCATATAAACACCTTTAGACCTGGTCTAGGATAACTCTTTTGCCACAAGGCCTGGGTGGAGCTGCCCCATTGCCTGCCCACCAGGGATATCTGTGTGTGGAGGGCTTTGTCCAACACTGCAAATGGGTGGGAAGAAAGACACCTGACTGATGATTTATGAAGCCACTGATCCTCGAGACATGCATAATGTGTACAGTGCTCTGCCTACCCTGAACAGTGATGGTCCTCAGTCGGCTCCTGGGCATCTGCATGAAGCTGTGTGGTGGTGGTGGGATCTGGAGAGACTCTGCCCTTGTGGTTTCAGTGCCCTGCTCTAGCCCCTATGACAGTGCCACAGCTGCACCTGTGTCCTTTCAACACAAGCAACAGACAAGGTACCCTAGAGCCAGCTCCTGTGCAGACAGAGGATGGAGAGGAGGGGCAGCCCCTGTGGCCAGTGGAAAGGCCCTGGCTACCCCTTCCAGCCACACTTCCTTGCAAGGACAAGCAGTGGTTCTGCAGGCAAAAAGCTGTGGGGAACTGTTCTAGACCTGGCTTCTAGTATTTATTTGAAAGCTTTTGATGAATTTGTCATTGGTAACTCAGCTTTTGGCAAAGTGGCCTAAAGTCTTGAATTTGACACACTTCTATAAGAGCCACCTCCTTGATTTCAGCCCTAGTACATGTAAATCTACTTTTCTTGGGATAAAAATTTTCTAAAGAATAATCTCCCACGAGATTATAGTCAGGTGCTGCTTGCCCTTGGTATAATCTGGAGTAATTCAAGTCATACCTGCAGAACACGGAATGCAATTCCAAAACCATCTTCTACATTTTTCCCTCCCAGCATGACCTGAAAAGGAGGGGAAATGTGATTAAAGAAGCAATAATTACTAGAGTAGCCTCTCAATCAAGAATGATGGCCCTTATTTATTCAATTATTCACAAATATTTGTTGAGACCCTATTAAGTGCCAGGCGCTAGGGATATAAGAATGATCAAAATGTACTTGGTCCCTAGCCTTCTGTGGCTCACATTACAGTGGAGAGGCAGCCATAAAACACCTGAAATAATAACTAGACAATTACAATTGTGACAAGTGTTCTGAAAAATGAGGACAGTTTGCTAGGGGTCTGAAACACTGTACATACCTTGCAGGCAACATCCATTTTCATGTGGTTATTTCCAAACAGGGTTGGCAGAGGCAAAGTGGTGATCTGAGAGGTCCCAGCACTTTCACACCGATGTAAGAACCTGGTCACTTCCATTTGCAGCTGAAGTGTGTTCATGTGCCTATGGTGACAGAACACACACAGTCCAGCCTCATGAGGGGCCTCAGGAGTGAGGTGACTAGGGCTGGGTGACTGGGAAGTCAGGATAAGATGGTGATGGAAAAGGCAAAACAAATGATGCAGAGACCTCCAAGTACCCTCTGAGGAGTTATGACAAGACAAAAATGGGTGGTCTACTGCCACGCACAGACTCATAATAGTTAAGGTGCACTGTGGAATTGGATAAGGTCCAGCATTTTCTGAGCACCTATGTACCAGGTACAACAACAGAGGCCAAGAGAGATATGAACTCTGCCCTCATTGAGTTTATAGGCTAGAGGAGAGATGTATAGCACACAGAAACATAAAATATTTAATGATTAAGTCTCTGAAGGCAATAAATGGTAGTGCTGGAGCATTTATGTTAGATGTTATGGTCTAAGCAGAGGGACTGGTAAGTATAAAAGCTGAGAGGAAGAAAGGACTTGGTGTGTTGAAGAACCCTGGGAGGCCAGTGACTGACACTTAGTGAGGAAGAAGAGAGTAGCAGGAGACAAAGATGGAGAACTTGGCAGGGACCAGAACATGTAGGACCTTTTTTGCCTGGTGCAAGACTATTGGAGTTTAGTCTGATGGTAGCCTGTGATCTTAATCCTCCCTCTACTCCCCACTTCCTCTATAAACTCCTCCATAGGCTTTCCAGGCTGCTATTAGACACTGCCATCCAGGGATGACTCATTTTAGAGTTTTTTTAAGGGTTCATGGATTAAGAGCAGCTTTATCACTAAGAGACACTCAGTTCCAGCCTTTCTGCCCTGCACCAATGGTCCCCTGAGCCTTGAGCTACCTTGACACATCAGCTGCCGTCATCTTTTTTCGGAAGAAGGTGGTTTTCTTCCTTCCAGAGCTGCGAGAATTTTCTTGGAGGTAGATCTTCAGGTGGTCCTTGGCCTTGAGCAGCCATGACAGCTTCTCTCCCAGTTCTGTATATGACTTTGCTTTGTGACTGAAGAACCGAATGCATGTCATGGCCGCCCGGACTTGGTCCTAGAAGAGGAAAGTGAATGTTCAGGTCAAAGGAAATCAGGGATATTGGAGGTGGGCTGTGATGAGAATGCAGATCTGATCTCCACCCATGAAGCCTGGCTGTCAGCACCCACGCCCACCACCAGCTGAACTGCTATCTTGTGTCCATCATTCCAAGGTCCAAGAGATCCTATAGTGCACTGACTGGTGGAGTTCTTGGGTAGGACATTATTCCACCACTGAAGAGATCTAAAAAAAAGATGCTCCTGACTCTCCATTCAAATTGGCTTCGCTCTTACTCTGGCATTGAATAATTCAATTTCTCTGTAATTTAGTATTGACAATCTTCAGATAGATTGGGAGGAATTTGTTCCTTCTCCCTTCGTGCATTTTCTCTAAAACCACACTTGCTTTTCTATCATTGTGTATGAATTCTGCATTCATGCCTCATGCTTATCTCAAAACTACCACATACTTCTTTTTTGAGCTTTACATTCATTGCATTCTAAAGAATGGCATTATTGACAAGATTAAAGTTTGCCTCTAAATTTAGGATACAAATCCTAACGTTATTTAATAATGCTAGACAGGAACATGGATTTGCTCTAGGGTTAGTCAAACAGCAATGCCAGGGACTGAATGGCAGTCTTGTTCCCAATTAGCCTCCCCTGCATGGCAGGGCATCAGCAACAGAGGTAGAGGACAGGAAGAGGCTGTTATTACCTTCATAAACTGCTGTAGCTCATACAGAATGTGGTAGTAGTTTTTCTTCTGTAAATGTTGGCAGGCAGCAATCAGGTACTTTCCCCAGCTCTCCAAGGATGAATCAATAGATTCTAACAAGTTTTCCAAAGCATGTAGCTTCCCGCTTTTATAGCTTGGCTGGAAAATGCCTTCTATGAAGACTTCTGGAGGACTCTCCTAGAGCAGGGCAAGGTGAGAAGTCAGAAGTCTTGAGCCTGGGTTCTGGCACTGTCTGGAATCCACTTACTTACCTTCAGCATCCTCCCCTAGTAGTGCTTCTTAACCTTGTGTGTCACAGATACCTTTGAGAATCTCATTCTAGTGACTGCTTCACTTATCTCCTTCCTTTTACAGAAAAGCTCCTTGATGGAGTCATCTACATTTGCTGTCTCCAATTTCCCTCCTGTGATTTTCCTCTTGAATACACTCTAATCTAGCTTCTGTGGCCATAACTCCATCAAAACTACCCCTTATGTCAACAGTGACCACGAAACTCTTAAACCTAACAGTTAATTCTTGGTCCTCAGCAGCAGCTTTTTTTTTTTTTTTTTTGAGACAGAGTGTTGCTCTGTTGCCTGGGCAAGAGTGCAGTGGCATCATCATAGCTCACTGCAACCTCCAACTCCTGGGCTCAAGCGATTCTCCTGTCCCAGCCTCCCGAGTAGCTGGGAATACAGGTGTACGTCACCATGCCTAGCTAATTTTTCTATTTTTTGTAGAGATGGGGTTCCACTCTTGTTCAGGCTTGTCTTGAATTCCTGACTTCAAGTAATCTTCCCACCTCGGCCTCCCAGAGTGATAGGATTACAGGTGTGAGCCACTGTGCCCAGCCTCAGCAGCTTTTGATATACATGATGGCTTCTTCCTCCTTGAAAAACTACCTTTTGATTTTTAATTTAAATTTTTATTTTTAATTGGGAAAAAGTTCCTTATTTGGCCTCTAGGATTTCTCATCCTTTCCAGGTTTTCTTTCTACATCTCTGCCTGCTTCTTCTCAATTTCCTTTGCTGATTCTTCCCAAACTCCCCAGGGCTCAGGAGGAACCTGTTCTCTTTTTTCCATTTATACTCGCTCTCTTGGTGATTTTATCCAGTCTCATGGCTCATTATCTATTTGTTGGCGGTGCCTAAATCCATATGTCCAGATTGTTCATTCCTCCTGAACTCTAGAACTGTATATCCAATTTACATCCAATTGCCTATTTAACTTGTCTTTTTGGGTATCTAACAAACTTAACACTTCTAAAACTGCACGCTTGATTGTTTCTTGAAATCTGCTGTTTCCTCAGTCTTTCCTTTCTCAGATGGTAACTCCATTCTTCTAGTAATTTAGGCCCCAAACCTTACAGTTATCCTTTCCCTCACACTCCTCCATCAAATTCACCAGCAAATCCTATTGGCTCGACCATCACAATACACACAGACTCTGACCACTTCTCACCACCCTCTCTGGACCACGCTGGCCCAAACCATTTGCCTGGATTACTGCAATAGCCTCCTCCCAGGTCCACCAGCATACCAAACTGTCTCTTTTCTGCCCAATGCCAACACATCAAACTGAGTGATTCTGTTACAACATCAGCTGGATCATGTTACTTCTCTGCCTACAATCTTCCAGTGCTTTCCTTTCTCATTCCTCACAATCAATGATCAGGCCTGTGCTTGCTTCGGCAGCACATATACTAAAATTGTAACGATACAGAGAAGATTAGCATGGCCTCTGTGCAAGGATGACACGCAAATTCATGAAGCGTTCCATATTTTTGCTTCGTATGGAACCAAAGAAGACCCCGAATATCAAAAGCAATTCTAGGCAACAAAAACAAAATGGGAGGCATTAATATGCCAGATATCAAACTATACTACAAAGCTGTAATAATTAAATCAATATGGTATTGGCACAAAAATAGGAATATTGACCAGTGGAACAGATGTGAGAATCCTGATATAAAACCATCCTCATATAGCCATCTAATCTTTGACAAAGCAGACAAAAACATACGCTGGGGAAAAGAATCCCTTTTCAATAAATGGTGCTGGGAAAACTGGATAGCCACCTGTAGAAGGCTAAAACAGGACCCACACCTTTCACCTCTCACAAAAATCAAGTCATGCTGGATAACAGACTTAAACCTAAGGTATGAATCTATTAGAATTCTAGAGGAAAAAGTTGGAAACACTCTCCTAGACATCAGCCTAGGCAAAGAGTTTATGAAGAAGTCCCCAAAGGCAATCACAGAAGCAACAAAAATAAATAAATGGGACATGATCAAACTAAAAAGCTTCTGTACAGCCAAAGAAATAGTCATGAAAGTAAACAGACAACCTACAGAATGGGAGAAAATTTTTGCATCGTATGCATCCGATAAGGAACTGATAACTAGAATCTACTTAGAACTCACGAAAATCAGCAAGAAAAAATCAAATAACCCTATTAAAAAGTGGGCAAAGGACTTGAACAGAAACTTTTCTAAAGAAGACAGAAGAATGGCCATCAAACTTATGAAACATGCTCAACATCTCTAATCATCAGGAAATGCAAATCAAAACCACAATGAATATCACTTAACTCCAGTGAGAATGGCTTTTATCAAAAAGTCTCCAAACAATAAATGCTGGCGTGCATGCGGAGAGAGAGGAACACTCCTACACTGCTGGTGGGACTGCAAGCTAGTTCAACCTCTGTGGAAAGCAATATGGAGATACCTTAAAGCAATACAAGTGAATCTACCATTTGATCCAGCAATCCCATTACTAGGCATCTACCCAAAAGATCCTATGACACTCTACAAAAAATACACCTGCACTCGAATGTTTATAGCAGCACAATTCATAATTGCAAGGCTGTGGAAACAGCCCAAGTGCCCATCAACCCAAGAATAGATTAATAAAATGTGGTATATGTATACCATGGAGTACTATTCGGCTCTAAGAAACAACGGTGATATAGCACATCTTATGTTTTCCTGGTTAGAGCTGGAACCCATACTATTAAGCGAAGTTTCCCAAGAATGGAAAAACAAGCACCACATATACTCACCAGCAAACTGGCTGTACTGAAGCAGCACCTAAGTGGACACATAGGTACTACAGTAATAGGGTATTGGGCAGGTGGGAGGGGGGCGGGTATATACATATATAATGAGTGAGATGTACACCATCTGGGGAATGGTCATGCTGGAGACTCAGACTTGTGGGGGGAGGGGGCAATGGGAATTTATTGAAACCTTAAAATCTGTACCCCCATAATATGCTGAAATAAAAAAAAAAAAAGATCAGGCCTGTTACCTTTCTGATCTTACCTACTGTTACCCTGTCCCAGCTGACTCTGCTCTAGCCACCCTGGCCTCTGCCCTTGTTAGTTCCTCTGCCTGGACTACACTTCCCCCATAGATCCGCATGACTCACTCCTCATGTCCTTTACTCAGATGTCACCTAAGACACATGGTCTAAGATTACACAAGCAACCCTCCCTCTTCCCCTGCCTTTTCTTTTTTCTTATTCATCACCCACACTATATATTTTATGTCCCATGTTTATTGTCTCTTTCCTTCCTATAATGTAAATTTTATAATGGCAGATTTGTCTGTTTTCTTTTCTTTTCTTTTTTTTTTTCCACTGCTGTATCTCTAGTGCCCAGAATAGTCTTTGACTATTTGATAAATATTTCTTAGATGAATGAGGAAACAATAAACATTATGGACTGACTCCTCAGGAAAGGATATATACATATTAACCTCCCTGCTTCTGAAGCTCACCTGTGGTTCAGAGATCCTGACTCATAAACTCCCATTCCATGGCAAAAGAAAAGAAGTCACTTTGGCATTTGACTTTAGATTAAGAGTAATCCATGGAGAGTAAAGGATGACTATAAACTCATAGTGGTATAACACACTGGCACAGCAGCACTTGCCATGAGCTGTTTAGAAGCAGAGAGGATCTGGGTTTTGAGAATATCCATAGTGGGTGAAGGTTAGGGCTCCTTTTCTGATTCAGGCTATTCCTAACTGGGAATCAGACCCAATCTAAAAGTTGCAGGCCAGACTTTAAGAAGCAGGGTCATTAGCTCTGTAGGAAAGATGGAATTCCTCAGAAGAAAAGTACCTTAAGAACTTCCATTTTATCCATTCATCTACCTACTCATTGACTAATAACTGGTACTAGGCTGGGTACCTGAATACACATAAGTGAAATATAGGTCTTCTTGGTCCACATCCAATTATAAACAAATAGTTGCAATCCACTGGGATAAATGTAATAACAAGTACAATGGTGGTGCAGAGGAAGAGGTGGTTGATGCTGCTTGAATATTCTGTGAATGTTCAACAGAGAGGGTCTGCAAGGATACTGAAAGAATAAACAGGAGTTTCTCAAGAAAAAAAGGAGGGACAGGGCATTCTAGGTAGAGGGAACAGCATATAAAGACTTGTGAAGGATTGCAGAAGGATTGCTTGAGCCCAGGAGTTTGAGGTTGCTGTGAGCTAGGCTGATGCCACGGCACTCTAGCCCAGGCAACAGAGTGAGACTGTCTCAAAAAAAAATAAATAAAAAAGACTTGTGGAGATATGACAGTATATGGTATAATCAGGAAAATTTAAGTAATTTGATGAGTCTGGAATGTAGGGTACAGATAGAAAATAAATTGGAGAAATGAGAGGCCTGATTCTGGTGGGTCTTATAGTCTGCTAAGGAATTTGGATTTCATCCTGTGGCTGTGGGGATCCACTGACAGCTTTTTAGGGAGGGGAATAAACTCAGTGTATTTATGTTTTAGAAAGCTCACTCTGGGGGCAAAGTGGGCAAAGGGGCAAAGAGAAAGTGCTAGAAACAGAACACCTATACCTTCTAGGCCTTCAGGTGTAATTTCCACAATTTTTTCCTGCTGTCCCTACATGCTTGAGAATAAAGGCAAGATATTTCAGTTCAAGGATAATGATTACAGGAGATAAAAAGAAGGCTTCTTCCCTAGTTGTGACGAATATAAAGCAAGAGCAATGGGGTCACCAGCTTATGCCAAGCTAATTAAGTAAGCAGCTTAACTCTTTGGATTACAGTTATCAGAGAGAACAGACCTGGGGGATGTCCAGTCTCTACCTCTAAACTCATTTGGAAACTGAGGAAAAGGAAAAAAGCATTAAACTCCAAATAAGATGACTTCCACATTATTCTTGAGACCTGGTTAGTAGCTAAAACACAGTCAGTAGCTAAGCAGTGGTGAAAACACCTCCCTCACTGTCCTTTAGGGGTATGGTCACCATGATTCTGCAAACTGCTGATTTCACTTGGAGCAAGTCTAGAAAATAGGTCTATCTGTAAACTTTCATTGACTGCCATTTTGATTTAGGGTGACAGAATGAAATTAAGGTTTGCTTTGAGCTCCTTTTATTTTCTATGAAATCTGGTACACCTCAGACAATTTCTCAGAAAGTTATTATGGAACATTCAGATAAAAAAAGGAACACAGCCAGGTGCAGTGGCTCATACCTATAGTCCCACCTACTATTAATAGATGGGCTGAAGTGGGAGGATTGCTTGAGTCTAGGAGTTCAAGGCCAGCCTGGGTCCCATTTCATTCATTCATTCATTAATAAATAAATAAACACATAAATAGAACTTTAAAAAATGAAAATCAAAAAGGAATGTCAAAGGGTCATGGTGAAACAGCATGTTGATTGCTTATCAGTGGCTCCAAAGAAATAATGTCTCTGGTGGGAGGGGGGAGAGGATATGAGAGGAAAACAGTAGAGCACATTCTCCTTTCAACATATATTTGGGGTCCAAGTGTAGGATAGGTGCCATGGGTGCTTCCTGGCCCTTGTGGTAACAACTCTGAGTGGACCAGCAGCTGGGCCAGAAGCTGGACACCATCCCAGGCCAGGTGGGCAGGCGTGCGGGAATGGAGAGAGCTAAGCAATATGCCCAAGGTCACACAAGACTCATACCACACATCTCATTCTTGAGACCATGCTCTTAACTACTAACCAATTCTGCTACATGTTTTGGGAGAATGGATGACGTGTGCCACTGCCAGTCAGGATGGTGATTTGGGATCCAGGCTAAGATTTCTTGCACACTCATCCAATAATGGTTGTGTAGACAGAGTCTTCCATTTTGACCTCACTCTGCCAGAGATAATCTCACAGCTCAACACTGGGTTAACCATAAGGGGGGCGTATCATCCCTCTTAAAGCCAACTGGTCCAAGCTAGGCGAGCTGTGTTGGTGCGGCTCACCTTGTTGAGGAGGTGCAGCAGGGCTTCCCGCAGGCAGCTGTGCCGCATGTAGAAGCTGATGATGGCCAAGTTGGTGCTATAGTTGTGCAGGTAGAAGAGGCATTCTTGGTAGTAGGTGTTGTTCATGACCTTCCCATCAGGAATCACCTCTAGAGAGAGGCTCTTGGTCCGAAGAGTAGCCTCTAGTTCCCTCAAGGTGGCAAAGTAATCGTCATCTTGCTGACAGGAAAGGAGAGAGTGAGAGAGAGAAAAACAGAACTCAGTAAATTCTTGGCAGTCACTAAAAATACTGCTTTCAAAGAATATTTATCAATGTGGAAAAATGCACACAATACAGTTTTAAGGGTAGAAAAACAGGATTCAAAATTCTATATATTAAAATATGGCATATCTTCAATTTCACTAAAAAATATAAAGAAAATTCTCCAAAAACTTAATACTAATTAGTCTGGGTATGGGATAATGTGATTTTTCTCTTTTTAAAAATAGTTTTCTATACTTTCCTTTAAAAAAAATTGGCTCTATTACTTATATAACCACATATAGTTACTTATCTAACTATATGTAATGGAAAAAAACAGAATATAAACTGGGAAGGCTCTGAGCCATGACTGACACCTTTAGTTGAACTTAAGCTGATCCTTTTCCCAGGTCATCACTGTTCCTGGGCCTGCCTCCCTGAGGTGGGCATTCTGCCTGCTTTGCTCTTACCAAGGATATGATGGGCCTCGCTGTGGACTCCAGGTACTCAACCACGTCCTGTACCAGCCTTGAGCCATGACTCAGCTGATTGAGGTCAAATGGGGGCTTCAGACAGCGACTGAACTTCTCCCGAGCTGCAGGGAGATTCCCAGCTTTGAGGCAGGCCATGCCCCAGGCATGCCACGCCCCAGTGGTATCGAGCCCAGTCTTTGTGGAAACCTGGAGGAAAAATTGCTCCTTTTAGTGAGATGTAGCTATACTCAGATTTGAAAGTCTCAAAGACCTATTCTATCCCCAAGCTACCAATCACCTCACCGCTCCCCACACCCTGGCAAACTGGTCATGCCCTAGATGCTTCCCATGGTCAGGACAACTAAGAGTTGGCAATACCTGTTTGCAAGATGAAGCAAAGCTAGCTCATTATAGTGGGGTGGAAGCAAGCTTTGTTTCTGCCTCACCTCAACGCCCAGTTGGTAGTACTCAGCTTCCAAAAGCTGGTTCCTTAGCCTGGTCACTGCAGCTGGCTGCAAGAGCTGATCCAGAGATGGCACGTGGCGATAGGCAGCAGCAACTAAAATATTCAGTACATCCACCTTGCTGATGTAGCTACAGGGGGGAAAAAGGCAAGGCAGTGAGGCTTCCCAGGGTCTTACGAAGAATAGTTGTTGCTCAAAGGTTTTCTATTCCATTTTCAACGTGAAATGTGATAATGAGAGTTGAGAGGTGCATAGCATAGACACAGAGAGTGAGGCTCAAGAGTCACATTCTTTGAATCTCAGCACCATCACTTAGTAGCTCTATGATCTGGAGAAAGTTAGTTAACATTTCTCTGTCTTACCCATCTCTTACCCATCTGTAAAATGGGTAGTCATGTACTACATAATGACAGTGTTAACAACTGACAGCCTATATAACAGTGGTCCCAGAAGATTATAATACCATATTTTTACTGTACCTTTTCTATGTTTAGATAGGTTTGTTTATTTTTCTTTTTTTAAAATTCTTTCTTTTTTTCTCTGTTTTTACTAATTCCATAATAGATATGTTTAGATACACAAATACTTACCACTGTGTTACAAATGCCTACAGTACTCGGTACAGTAACTTGCTATACAGGTTTGTAGCCTACGAGTAATAGGCTGTACCGTCTAGATTTATACAAGTACACTCTGTGATGTTCACACAACAACAAAATCAACTAATGATGCATTCCTCTGAATGTATCCCTGTCATTAAGTGACATGTGACTGTAGTAATGGAGTTTTAGGGATAAAATGAAATAACCCAAGTAAAAGGCCTTAGGATAGTGCATGGAACTTTTTTGGCAGCCATTAAATGTTAGATATTAATGTTTACAGTAGGAACACTCAGGGCTCCTATTTGAGGCAAGGCCTTTACATTGAATGTTGGGACTTTATAAGTTACCCATTTACTTTTTGGTCCTTTGGAACTCTCCCTTATGAAAGGATCATAGATTCAGTATCCTGGTTAGTTAGTTAGTTAGCACTCCTGGTTAGTTCAGAGAGCACATCACTACCATTCCCTGGAGGGACTGCTGGGCAAGGGCATCCTACCCCTTCACTCAGATTCTGGACTTGACATCTTCTCCCTGGGCTAAGGATGGGCCCTCAGTGTAACCTACTAGGATTGTCTTATTACTCCTGTAACAGATGCTTATAAAAACCTTATAAAGACAGAGAGGCCAGAGGGCTGGATCATTCTATCTAGCGCTGCCTGAAACAAGCCTACACTCCAGGTTCCTGAATCTTGTCTCATAATTCCAGCAAAAAACTCTGTGGATCCTGACTTGTTCACCAGTTTCCCTGGAAAGGGATTCTGTACATCAGTGACTCATAACCTAGTAGGGATGGGGTAGGGGAAAGTATAATCTATAAAAGCATCAGTACAATAATATATTTATACACTTAGAAAATGAAAACATTTGAAATAGGTAGTTTGAGTTTTGTTTTTAAACCTGTATTTGTTTGTTTGACTATCAGAAGGGGGTCTGAGCTAAAAACAGGAGATTTAAACTGATTTGCACAGCAACACACATGAGAGATTCAATGTATTCTCATCAGCAAATGGGACCATTCCCTGTCATGAGAATATCTGAATGCAGGGTGGGGGAGAAAGAATGTGTAATTTGAAACCACTGCTGTAAACTGTCAAAGAAGCTGAAGATGGTACGTTAGGGTGGGTGAGAATCCTACCGAAGTGAGAACTTCTCTAATTTCTGCGGTCCTCAGGCTAAAGTGGATATTTCCTTCATCTACATTAGATTTCCAAGGAAGTACAGGACTTGATGTTAAATTTGTTTTCCCTTCAATCTGAGTATCTTTTTCTTTTCTTATTTACATTTCTGATATTTGATATATATTTAGATTTTTAAATTTTTTGCCTTAAATCTTTTTTCATGTTTGTTTTCTACCTTTTGCTACATGGAGAGTTTTCTGTTTTTCCCCTCCTATCCTTTCCTGTGAATTTTGTAGATTTTTGGTTCTTTTTTTTTTTTTCTGCCATTCGAGAAAGCAGGAAAGATTTTTGGTTCTTTTCATGGTTATTTAGAAAAACTTCACTTAACATATATCTATTTTTTCATTTATCTACTTGGAAAATGATATAGAAGCTATTTGCCTCTTGATTTAAGAGTAAAATTAGCTCCTTTTCACTTCCTTCTACTTTCTTTCTTACCTCCTTCTGCTCTTTTCAATCTTCTAGCTTTTGTTAAGAAAAATATTAAAAATTAATAGCATTTTTGGAGTACACAGTATATACCAGGCTCAATTCTTCACCCTTCACATGGGTGATCTCATTTTATCCCCATAACAGACCTATAAGATAAGTATTATCACTTCCATTTCATGGAGAGGAAACTGAGGCCCAGAGGATGGAGCAGACTTGTCCAAGTTTACTAAGAAGTAGTGAAGCTGGGATTCACTGTGCTCCATTTTGGTTGGTAAGTTTTAGGTAAGTACTCAGAGCAAGTATCTGAGGGAGGCATTTATACTCCAAAGAAAATTATACCCTCTGCTCCCAAATCTGGTTAGGACTGAGTGCTGGGAACACTCATCATGAGTCATGCGTCTGGGTGGACAAGCAGGGAGTTGGGAGTTTTCATTGTCAAGTTAATAAATGGAGTCAAAGCAGGTTGTACAGGAACCTGAGGGAGGTCTAATCACACCTTTTCCATAGACACTTAACTTTATGACAGTTCCTACATTTGACACAGGGATAGACCAATCCCCAGATTGCTTTTATAGATCTATTATCCAAAACCCGCTGAGGTCACAGTCTGAATTTGGTTAAGACTGGCGTAGAGTTTTATTCAAGGCTAAGCACTGTTCATTCAGGGAGGATACATTTTCTTTAAAAGCCAGAAAGTTCTACATAGTCTAAAGGTGCTTCCCTAAATGAATTTTAATTACAAATTAACCAGTCAAAGTCTTTACTTTCTGACTGAGTATAGCTAGAGAAAACTCTGCTTTGAGGATCCACTCTGAAAAAGAAAAGGACACAGGCTGGACACAGGCTGTCTAGGTAGGTGAGGAAGAATACTTGGGATCTGGTAACAGTACTTCATCAACATCAAACTGAGATGCAAAGTATTTCAGCATTGCGTCTTGTCAGAGAGGATGGTGAGATAAGAAATCATACTGGGGTCAGAAAAAGAGGCCGGAGAGAAATAACCACCACAGAAAAGAACAGAGACGCATTTCTATATACCTGTCACAAAGAGCCAAGTCCTGGCTCCGGCCAGCCTTGACGAACATCATCTTGGCGCTGAAGAGCAGCTGCTTCATGATGTCTGTGAGCAACCCTGCATCCACCTCTGGGTTGGCAAGGCCCTTGGACAGCCTGCAGCAGTGCTCAATCAGCTGGTGACCACAGGCAGTGCTGTCCCGGTGCAGATTCAGGATAGCAATGCACAAGGAGGCGCTGGGGGCCTGGCCAGGATGGAAGAAGGGTGAGACAAACTCTGAGTCTAGGGACCAGAGCATTCTTCAAATGCAGCTGGGTGGCAGAAATGATTCTTCCCCTTTCAAAAGGTTAAACAAACACTAGAGGGAGGTGCCAAATTCCATGGCAAAGTAGAAGTGGAACTAAACTTATTTCAGATGTTCCAAGTAGCACTGCCAAAGCCCTGGCTGCCAGGTTTTGTCATCTTACTGGAAGAAGGTGCTGTGTCCACATGTGACCTACTTCTTGAAATGTCCAAATTGGTCAGGTCCCCTCCTTTTTATGGTCTACTGTCCTACTAGTGCAAGGCCTCTTTATTGCTGGCTTGGACTATAGTGGTCACCTCGCTTGTCTGACCATCTGGAGGAACTTCTGCTTTAAGCCATGGATATACTACTGCTACATTAATATTCTTAAAGCATACTCGGAAACCTTTCATAGCTCCCTGACACCTACCAAATAGACATCCCTTACTGCAGAATTCAAGGCCTTATACATAAATAATTCTTTACAATCCTACCTTTTACTACTTCTCTATTAACACTATGTTCCCTCCAAATTAAACAACTTCCAATTTTCCAATCAAGTCCTGCAATTTTTGACACTGTCTTTCCTCAGACATTTTAGTGTTATACTCTTTGTCTTTCCTGTATCCTCACTCTCCTCACAGCTCTCAAATTCCTGATTGTCACACTCCTACTACTCTTCCAAGGCTCATCTTAAATGCTACCTCTTCCACGAAGCCTCTCCTGGTCTCCTCTTGTATACTCCCCAAGATGCTCCTCATTTTCTGCCTTTCAGATTTACTTGTCTTAGCCCCCATATTATTACACTGTAAACCAGTCAAGGCCACACTGTGTTCACCTACCTCTGTATTTCCTGCCATCCTATTATACATCATAAGAAACTTAAATGACCATTGCATGTTATTGCCATTACCTGCTCATAGTAAAATTCACTCCGCACTAGTTCATTTTCCTCCTCTTTCAGATCCAAAATCCATTCCACTTCATCTGCTTTGGGGATTTTCACCACAAATGAGTATGGTGGGCTTTGACTTTGGGAGCCATCTGGTGCTGAGAAGAGAGTTGCCATTCATGTGTCAGTCACTGGCTGGCAGTTCAGGCTGGCCCAGGTCACTGAGCTGGCATGAGATGCAGGCAGATACATGCCTGTTATCTGAGGGTCGGTCGGTCGGTCTGTCTGTCTGTCTATCTATCTATCTATCTATCTATCTATCTATCTATCTATCTATCTATCTATCTATTTATTTATTTATTTTGAGACAGAGTCTCACTTTGTTGCCCAGGTTAGAGTGAGTGCCGTGGCATCAGCCTAGCTCACAGCAACCTCAAACTCCTGGGCTCAAGCAATCCTCCTGCCTCAGCCTCCCGAGTAGCTGGGACTACAGGCATGCACCACCATGCCCGGCTTTTTATATATATATATATATTAGTTGGCCAATTAATTTCTTTCTATTTATAGTAGAGTCGGGGTCTCGCTCTTGCTCAGGCTGGTTTTGAACTCCTGACCTTGAGCAATCCGCCTGCCTCGGCCTCCCAGAGAGCTAGGATTACAGGCGTGACCACCACGCCCAGCTGAGGGTCCCTTTCTCTCTCCTTGGTTCCTTTTGTTTCCTTTAGAAGACCCCACTAAGCACCTCAACCCTTCTTCCCCAGGCATAGACCTGGGATGAGAGTTACAGTATTTGTCACACAACCCTGTGGCTTCACATGAGAAACCCTGAAAGCTGCATGTTTCTCAAATGAGTGGCTGAGCCACTGGGTACTCTAAAAACTAACTTGCTGTGGAGGATATAGACCAAACTGTTAACAGTGACTACTGAGAGGTAAGGAGGGAGCATTCGGAGGTAGGATGGTGGTGAAGGAAAACCTGGGGGAAAAAAAATCAACTAAAAGTTAAGGACCAAATTCTTTGGTTGCTGGCCTTCTCAATGCTGAAAGCTAGTGGGCTGGTGAGGTAGGTTAATATGATGAACTTTAGCGGAAACAGGTTGATAGAAATGCCAAGAATTTTCTTTGGCAAACAAGTTGGATGAAATTGCTATTGAGTGCATCAGTTGCAGCTGACACACTGAAGATAAAGTCAACTTGAACATAACAAATGAAGAGTAACAGAGAACGTGATTAAGCTTTACCTTCTGGTTGTCCTGAATTCTCCTCTGGTACACTGGAAACAGAGAAAGAAAAATTAAATGCTTGAATCACTTCTCTTGTTTCGAGTTTAGTTTAGTGTATAATACTGACATTTACTCTCTTATTCAGGTGAAATATCAGAGAATCATCCATAACTCTTTTTTTTTAAATTAATTAATTATTTTTCTGAGACAGAGTCTCGCTTTGTTGCCCAGGCTAGAGTGAGTGCCATGGCATCAGCCTAGCTCACAGCAACCTCAAACTCCTGGGATCAAGCAATCCTACTGCCTCAGCCTCCCGAGTAGCTGGGACTACAGGCATGCGCCACTATGCCTGGCTAATTTTTTCTATATATATTAGTTGGCCAATTAATTTCTATTTATAGTAGAGATGGGGTCTCGCTGTTGCTCAGGCTGGTTTCGAACTCCTGACCTCGAGCAATCCGCCTGCCTCAGCCTCCCAGAGTGCTAGGATTACAGGTGTGAGCCACCATAACCAGCCATCCATAACTCTTTTCTCTCCTTCACCTGCCATGGCTACTCACCATGTCCTGTCTATTCCACCTCCTAAACACCCCTTTAAATGTTCCCATCTCTCTTCATCCCTGCCCCAGTGAGGGCCCTCATCATTTATTGCTAGAGTATACAATAACTTCCCCGTTGGTTTCCTTGATTCTGTCAACCTATTTCCTACTTTGCAGCTACAACAAGCTTTCAAAAATGCAAATCAAGTCTTATTATGGGTCTGCTTAAAATTCTTCAGTAGCTCCTCAGGCTAAAACATCCCACAATTGCAGTTCAGCAGAGAAAGCGCTTTATGACTTGGCCTAGCTATATGTTGCGGCCATCTCCTGCCACCCATGACCTGTGTTCAAGCCATAGCAAAGTCCTCCCTGCTCTACAAATGCCCCTGGTCAACTGAGCTAGTGTCACAAAACACTAAGCCCCAATGCCACAAGCCAGAGCCCAAGTCTATTACATGCACAAAGGGCCAACCAGTCACCCCCAGCCCATGATACCAGGGAGCAAGCCCAAGCCTTTGTGTCAGTCACTGCCCAAGTCCTCCCAGCACTCCGCTGCCAGCAGCTAAGTCCAGGGTACACCAGCCCAAACCCGAACCCATCACCTACCCATTTACAGTTCCTCAAATGATCTACATTTTCTCCTGCCCCTACCTTTGCAGTTATTACTCCTACTTCTTAGGCATGCTCTTTTTTGGCTTCTTTTCCTACTAATTCCTCATCCTCTAAGGCTCATCCTTGAAGGGTTACCTCTAGGAATCCCCCTGACCACCTGAAATAATCTGTGTGTGCCTCTGCCACTGCATTGATCAAAACCTTACGGCCTATTTCTTGGCTGTCTCTCCACTAAAATGGAGGCTCTTTGAGAGCAAAATTATAGAATTACAGACTCCCCACCAATACTAACTGCTCATTTCAAATCTCATTAGTATAGTAAATGGGTAATTCTTGTCACCTACTCTGAGGGAGGGAAGCAGTAGTATGCCAGGGTCCCAGAAACTATAGAAAAAGTATGGTATGTCTTCCTTCCTAGGAGATCAGTAATCATCCTGGTAAATAATGACCAAAAATGTTCATATTAATACAAACATAAAAATGCTATTGAACAGAATATGAAATCTATTTAAGTCTATAAATAAAACATGGAGAATTGAAAGTAATTTTGCTTCTGGATAGTTGCTTTGGCCCATATTCCCAGATGCTCTAGGAGTCTTAGTTTCATGCTCCTTTGCTACTAGAAGTACTAGAAAAAAGTGAGCAATATTGAGCCAGCAAACACAATCTTGATCTGTCTTGCAAGAGGTATGAGCAATCTTTGAAGTGTGTCACCAAATGAACTATGTATAGGAAAGTGTGGGGGCCCTTCTAATAGTGGGTAAGAAGCCAGGCTAGCTACCTAGATTAGAGCTGATGAGAGCAATGCCTAAGCACTCAGCAGGTATGAACGTGTCCCTTTGAGTCCAGCTGAGATCAACTGAAGCAAGAGTGCCTGGAAAATAACTTAGTTGGCAAACCAAGAACCAAGAGTCCTGATTTCACAGAGAACATCATGTAAGAGGCTGAACAGTGCTTCTTCATACCCCTACTTTCTCTCTTAGTAAGGTCAATCTATAAACATTTCACTGTAGAGTTAATGGCATTCCAGTGTGAATGTTAAATTAAATATTTTTGTCAGAGTTTCAGATTTGAAACACTCTCCATAATGAGACTCCCAGGAGTGTAAGGAGGGTGCAGTGGTCAATAATAGTAACAGCCCCGCTGCAGGACACTTACTCTTTGTTGTAGTAACTATAGCACTGGTCACACACACGAGTGGGGTTCTCTCTGCAGCCTTCCACCACCATTTTCTTAGTGGAGCAGGAACTGCACACTAGCCGGCCACAGCGACGACAATGATGACGCCTGTTAAACTGGGGAATACCATTGGCAAGAGAAAGAAGAGAAAGTGAGATTGTCATCAATCCATTTATAGTTATATTAGTCACCTGTGACTTATTAAGAACATCAGGTGCTTGAATCTTTATTGAAAAAGAACACACCAGTACTTGCCCTCAAAAAGCTGACATTTTAAGATATCTCTCAGCTGATGGGCAAAGGTGCCAAGTCACGGACAGTTTTGCAATAGCTCCTTAACAAGTACTACTTGTATGTGGAGGCAACATGTGGACACACAGAAAAAAGTAGTGGGGAAGACGTGACCTTTCATCCTGTGAGAATCACATTTCTACATGGTAGTGATGATAATGATGAAAAAGTATCCTTTTTCAAAGTGCCTTTAAAGTACTGCCTCATATTACTATGAGAGGCTGATAGAAATATTATACCTCTTTTATAGATGAGAAGGAAACCGACACAGAAATTATATCACAATTTTCATCAGCATTGAGCTAATGTGCCAGGCAGGTGTTAAGTATGGTGACATGTGTTATCATGTTTAGTTCTGACAGCTCCATGAGCCAAATAATATATCATCCCTAGTTTACAAGTGGGCACATGAGACTAAAAAAGTTTATAGTCACATTGCTATTAAGAGAACCCAGGTCTTCTGTCTCCTGAGCCAGCACATATAACCATTGCTAGGTCATTTGCCTTATTGTGAAAGACATGGGAGCTTGAAATAAGATCCCTGACACTTGGTGACCCCTCCTGACTCTCTTTTGTTATCTGATGAGAATGGCAATACTTAGAATTTAAGCCTCTTTGAGGGTGTCTACTACTTGAATCCAGAAAATACGGGTCAAAGATAAACCCAGTCTTAGGTTTGGCAGTTCTTCTGAAAATACCTATATCCTCTTGGGGACAGGAGGTGACTATAAACTCAGTCAGGCTCATGAACTAGAATTTTCCCTTACTTTCCCCTGCAGGTAGAACTAGAGACTGATGCCGCTTACCATGGTGAAGTGCTCCCTGCAGCAGACCATGCAGATGCTCTCTGTCTCATCTGGTACCCACTGGTGCCTAGCAGGGGGTGTGGCTGGGGGCACGAATTCCTGCGTGGGTTGACTCGGTGGGAAACTCTTCTCCCTCAGACTGGGGGAATGTACAACAGAGACACCTGGGAGCCAGAGATGCAGAGGTCAGAATAAATGGTGATCAATATACCAGCTTATAAATGAAGATGGAACAATAGAATTTCACTATTTCAGAAACTCTTTTGAAATAATAGATCTAGTTAATGATCATCAGTGGCTGTTTGTGTCACAAAAGTGAGACTACTGGACGTTGTGTGCCTCCTAATGGAAGTGTACAACGCCACCTATCCAAAAAATATTAAGCCTGAATCAAGTCAGGCTTCTAGATCTAACCACTAGTGTACTGGAAGTTCAAAGGATGAAGACTCAGATTATCATACGGAGGCAGTCGGCAAAATACAGAATGGGGGAAGTGCCACAGGACAAATGACTTAGTTTCCACCACAAATAAAAAAGAGGTAGGGGGGAAATAAAAAAGATAAGAGGCAGGGTACCTGCTGATTAAAAAAAGATTAAAACATATTTTAGCCAAATGCTATATGTGGATATTATTTAGATCTTGATTCTAGAAAAACTAATTATAAAAAAATCTTTATGACATAATTAGAGAAACTTGAATACTGACTGGATTTGATAATAATAAGAAATCAATTCCCGGCTATGAGTCTATGAATTAAAAAAAAAAAGAAAAAGTAAATCATTATTAATTTGTTTCTAGGTATAATAATGATGTTATGGTTTTGTTTTATAAAAGTCTTTACCTCTTAGAGATTTATATGAAAATACTTATAAATGAAATATTATATCTGGGATTTGTTTCAAAATAATCCAGTGGAAGGATGTGGGACTATATATGAAACAAGAATGGTCATCATGAGATGATAATTATTGTAGGTGGGTACTAGGAATGTGAGTCTTCATTGTACTACTCTCTCTCTGTCTCTCATATTACAAATTTTCCATAACAAAAAGCTTATATAGGTTGGGAGCGGTGGCTTATACCTGCAATCCTAGCACTTTGGGAGGCCAAGGAAGGAGGATCACTTGAGGCCAAGAGTTCAAGACCAGCCTAGGCTAATTTCTCTACTAAAAAGAGAGAAATTAGTGGGACATAGTGGCACATGCCTGTAGTCCCAGCTACTTGGGACTCTGAGGCAGGAGGATCACCTGAGTCTAGGAGTTTGAGGTTACAGTGAGCTATGATCATATCACTGCAGTCTAGCCTGGGCAACAGAGTGAGATTCTGTCTCAAAAACAAAAATAAGCTTATATATATATACACACACACATATATACATGATGCATACTACATGTATATACACACATGCACATATATATTAAAAAAATAAGTATATACATATATATATCTGTGCCAAAGCTGCTGCCTTCTGCAGATGCATGAAGCTGCTCATATACCTGCAAATCTGGGCCCTCCTTCAGCTCTGCTGTTTACTGTGAAATACGGCTAATTCTCAAAATATTGCCAGGAAATGTTACAGTTTGCTTTATAGTATAAGGAAATTTAATGTGGCTTTAACTTAAATTTCCCTAGTGAGTAATGATATTGAATATCTTTTCATTTGTATATCTTTGGTGAAGTATCTGTTCAAAGCACTTGACCCATTTAGAAAATTGGGGTCTTTTTTTCTTAATCCCAAGTTCTATGAGTTTTTAAAATACATTCTGACTAGAAGTTCTTTATCAGATATATGGTTTCCAAATATTTCCTCCTAGTCTGTGGTTTATTTTATTATCTTTCAAAGAGCAGAAATTCTTAATTTTGATGAAATCTAACTTATCAATTTTTAAAATTTCAATAAATTTAGAGGGCACAGTGTTTTTTGTTACAAGGGTGAATTGTATCATGCCACAGTGTACCCGTTACCCAATAGTATACATTGTACCCAATTAATAGCTTTTTTATCCCTCATCCCCACCCCAACTAGCTGCTGATGCCCAGAAGTCTGCTTACGCAAGGTGTTATGTGAGACTCAAAGCAACACAGACTTCTACCTTACCCAAAACCCCACATAAAAGCTTGCTGCCTTATTTCCGTGACAAGGCAGATGGCAGAGATTTTCTCTCCTGTTTTTGCATTTTGGCCAAATTGAATAAATTTTTCTCTATCTCCAAGTACTGGTGTCACAGTGTTTGGCTTTAGCTGTACATCGAATACATGATCCTGGATTTGGGGTTCTGCAACAGACATATTGCCACAAACAATGAGAATCAATTGTATGTTGAATCTTTTGGGATATACAAAGCTGGAATGAACCAAGTAAAATAATTAATAATGTCATAACTGGAAATGAAAAAAGAGGCAAAAATCAGAAAGTCAGAATAAGGCAAGATTGAACTAGAAAATTTAGTGAATAGGCAGAAACATCTCTTACCAGGAAGAGCAGCAGGAGAGAACTCTGCTGATGGTGATCTAGAGAGGGTCTCGGGGTCTGAAGCCTGATGGACAATTTCCTGGAGGTGAATCACAGAATCTGTAGGGAGGGAAAATGCTGACAAATTATTGGCCTACCATAAGCATCTTTATTCACTGCGTAGGCATTTAGTTCAAAGATCTGTTGGCTTTTCCTATAAACTGTGAACCATTCAATTATGTTGTATTTTAGTCCTCAGTGCAGTTACAATTTCATTCATCCACTTTGTTTTTTGTTGCTGTTGTTTGTTATTTCAAAATATTATGGAGGTACAAATGTTTGGTTACATAAACTGCCTTTGTACCACTCAAGTTAGAGCTACATGTATGCCCATCCCCCAGACAGCATGCACAGCACCTGTTAGGTGTGAGTTTACTTATGCCCTCCTTCCCCCTCCCACCTGCCCAACATTGATTAAAGTTTCATCCACTTTGAAATGGTTCCTTCACAAATACAAAGGATAAACCAATATAAAAATGTGATTAGATAAAAAATAAAAAAGGTATATTATCAACTATGAAAAAAAAAAGATCTGTTGGCTTTACTTATGGCCATTCCATGATTCTACTAGATATATTCTAAGCCAATACCATGCATGTTTCTTAAATTCCTCAAAAAACAAACCATGTTTAGGCACATGAGATAATGAAGCAGACACTAGGATTCTATAAAATCAATCTAAAATGCCCAGAAGGAAGACATTTAAACAATGTCCCTGGAGGGTAGAGAGTAAGAAAAAAGAGCTGGCTGAGTTAGCTCACACACACACAAGTGATCTCTGATGTGACCTTGGGAATAAAGACACTCTCAATACAAAATGATGGCACTTGAGAGCTCACCACATCAAGGCTAGACAGGGACTATTTGCAGCATATTTTATTTCCCAGAACTTTATTTATTATGCATGCAGTGGTTATTTACCACCATTTAATTCTAATTAGTCTTCTACTTCTTCTAAGACCAAGATCTCTCCAAATAATAAAGAGCTCTCTTTCCTGAAGTGAATTCTATTCACTCTCTATCAACCCAAAATAATAAAAGAGAAGAAATTGTAGCCAAAATAATAAAAGAGAATGTAGCCATGGCATTTCCTCCTCCATGTAGAATTCCCTTCTAGGATGCTGGCAGTTACCTGATCGTTTCTCCCTCTGAGGGTATGGAAAGTCCAGGGCTTTCCCTGCATATCTGGAAAGCAGCGTGTCCACCTCGTCCATGGTGAAGCCAATCTCCTGCCCGGCCAGCAGCTGGTGCAGGGTCTGCACTGCCATTGTGGCCCAATCCACCTTCATGTTCATGAGCAGCTGCTCTAGCATGAGCAGGGGATTAGAGGACAAGTGGGAATAGCTGGCCCGGTGCTGTTCAGGGAGGGTCAGCAGAACCTGTTTGTGGGGTAGATCCATAGAGTAAAGGAAATAGTATACAAATTTCAGAAGAAACTTGAGATTCTCATGGAAGGGGAAGGGTGCCAGAGATCAAAAGGTCCATAGCCAACTACTGAAATTGGTTAGTAGTCTTTTAGAAAGCAAGGCTGAACTACATCTAAATCTTCTGGGTAGCGTTTGGGTAGTACTTCAAATACCTTCACTAGATGAGGGGTTGGTAAACTTTTTCTATAGAGGGTCAAAGAGTAAATATTTTAGGCTTTACAGTCCCTAAGGTCACTCAACTCTGTCAATATAGCCTGAAAGCAGCCATAGGCAAATATGTAAATGATAGATGTAAAGTAACTGTGTTTCAATAAAACTTGATTTATAAAAGCAGGCTGAGAACTGGATTTGGTCTACAGGCAGTAGTCTGCAGACTCCTGGCCTAGACCAACCAGGCATGGTTGAGTTCTCCATGACCCTTAATGCCACCAGTCTATTTGAGGCTTTACTTAGAATGAACAATACAAGGTGATGTCAGTGGACTGCTGAAATCCGGCACCTGTTGTGTTCTAAGTGATGACTATAAACTCCCTTTAGAGGTCATGATCACTAGGTATGAAATATGTTCACCGGCTCTGCTCACTGCCGCTTTTCGAGGGTTCACCTACTTAGATATAGTGCATCAAAAGGAAAAAAAAAAAGGTGTATCTTCTTTAGGAATATTTTATGTAGTTTACTTCTTAGCCAAGTGGGCTGGTGGTTATGTTCATAGCTCTCCTAGCACTCGTTCTATTTGTGGGACAGTATACAGGCTACAAGTCAGAATGCTAATAATTAGAAGAGTGCCAGAGGACCTCAACTCTCCCCAAATTCTCTTTCACTGGATTACTTTTTCTAGTTTGGAATTACTTCTATTAGTGTCTCCAAAGTTTCACGTCAAAGATAAAGATCTATTATCTCATCTATTTACCTACACAAATAACTCTCTTCCAGTAGCACAGACAAGTTTATCAAGCAGTAGTTTTAAATGCTCACATCAGAATCCCTTTGGTAAACATCCATCCCTATCCCAAGACCAGATTTAATTGATCTGGGATGGAGGTCAACTACTGGTATTTTTTTAAAGTCCAGGTGATTCTAACATATGGTCAGAATTGAGAAGCATTGATATGGCAGATGCCATGGAAAGCATATAAAGTCTACTTAAGAGGGCTAGGTAAAATTCACTACAGAGGTAGGCAGGAAAAGAATGGCAAATCCTATGAGACTCAACTAGGATATGGTGGGCTGCTAGGGTCAAGGTTTTATATAGCACAGGCCAAGGATGGCAGGTGCTGGCAGAAGAGCCATTGAAAGGCAAGTTCTGAAGTGGGAGCTGGGACCACAGTGCTCCCTCAGGCATGCTTTCCCAACACCCCCTTTCCCTCTTACCTTGGACCCCACATATAGCGCCTGGATTTCACGGTGTCGGACAGCAGTCAGTTGTCCATAGAAGTGGGTGGTGAGGTAGTTGGCCAAGAAGTGAGAAGTGGCCAAGCTAGGGTGCTGGTCAAGGGATTGCTCTGTGACCTCAAGGCACATGGTGGGGTCGGGGATCCTTTGCAGGAGCTGTTGCAGAAGAGTAGAGGAGGAAGGTGAGGCCTGCATAAGAACTCTTAGATCATCCTTGTTTTGTTTTAGAAAGGAATAGTTAAATTTATTCATTTTGGACTAACCCTTTCTCTATACTAATTTTTTTTTTTTTTTTTTTTTTTACCATTCCTGTAGATTCACAAATGTACCACAGCTTTGACAGGACCAGAATTCAGCAGAATCCTGGTCCCAGCTGCACAAGCTGCCTCAGCTGGAACCTAATATGGGGCTAGGCACCATCTGCCAAAGATGACTGTATCAGCTCCTGAAGGACATGAAGGGGTAGACCTTGTACTGCATGGGATTCAATAAGAAAAAAGCCATATGATTTGACTAGCCTTCTTGTTCCTACCCAAACAAAAAATGGAAAGAATTGGAGGCTTACTTGCAAAGCCTTTTCATGATCTCTTCTTTCTAGAAGGTGGAGAAGATGCTTTTGATGTAGGCTGATTAAACATTCTCTTGGAATGGGGTATAGGCAGCCCCACTCCTCACATAGCTCATACTCCTAGAAGGAAACACACACACACTTTCAATCCTTTTAAAATACTGGCCTTGTCACTCCTCCAACTTTTGCCTGATTTTTCTCAGTAGTTGTAAGTCTGCTAAGCCCCAGAAATGTTTGATAAGTGCTTATGGAAACTTCACTATGGGATTGAAGTGAGATTAGCCTCAGCAATGTTTGATGAGCACTTATGGAAACTTCACTATGGTATTGAAGGGAGATTAGCCCCAGAAATGTTTGATGGAAACTTCACTATGGGACTGAAGAGAGATTACAAACTCAAAGGATGAGAGTGGCAAGGTAAATTATAAAACTAATTGAAGCAGGCTTACTATTAATATAATTTTCCTCTTAGTTCTACTATAAAAGAGAAAAGCAGATGATATATGGCAACTGATACTTGATGTCAGCCCTGAGGAGATTCTAAGGAAGTGAGAAAGACTGAGAAGATTCTATTCAAGGGAGACAGCACTTACTCAGCTCTAATTGTTGCCATAAGAATGGGCAGGCCCAATATTGTCAGAATTTTAAAAATTGGAAAAAATTTATTTTTTAAATTATAATGTCAGGGCTTTGTCCAAATCTTCCAACATGGTGGTATCTGGAATACCCTCCTACAACTCTGCCTGAGGCTGCCTTCTTCAGGGTGTGTCCTTGTTTTTCAGGCTATATTAGGTGCCTTGCCTGTACTCCCACAATCTGAACTTACTTCTGTCACTTGATATATATTATGTTGCAGTCACATAGGGATGCATCTCACATTACTCCTCTCCCAAGATGTGAACCGCTCTAGGGTAAGAAGTAAGTTTAATCATCTTTGTTTACTACCTTCTATCACAGTGACTAGCAGATAACAGGCATGCAATAAATGTTTCCTGAATGAATGAATATTTGAATGAGCATCTACATTTTGAACTATGGGATATCAGCTCCTTAAAAGGTAGATAAAATCCTATTTAGTGCTGGAGTGGCCAATAAACACATGAAAAGATATTCAAATTCACTAGTAATCATGGAAATATAAATTAAAACAATAATGAGATACTGTCCTAATGGCAAAAAGTGAAAAGTAGGACAATATAAAAAGTTGGCAAGGATATGGAGCAGTAGGAACTGGGGGTGGAAGTATAATGGGGCAACCAATTTGAAGAGCTACTTGGTAACATCCTGGTAAAGGTGAGGATGCTCATGCCCAATGACCCCATAATTCCACTGTAGGTATCCATTTTATATCTAGTGTACACAGTATAGAAAATCTCACATATGAATGCAAGGGTGATAAGAAAGTGTCCATAGTATTATTCTTTATATTAATACTTATCTGTATGTTGGCAAATTTCACAATAAAAAAGACAAAGAATATAGTGTAATTATTTAAAAAATGTGGCCATTGATGCATGGAAAGGGGTCTACACAACCAGCAAAGGAGGATGAAGGGAAATACCACCCAGGAAAATGGTACCTGTGCTTCTAGAATCATGTTCATGACAGCTGATGGGTCCTCAGCACAGCAGTTCCTCAGGGTCTGCCAGTCACACCATGCTGGGGGATCCTGCAAACCTAGAATCTATGGAAAGGCAGGAAAATCCATCAAACCACATTGCAGCTTCTCCCTCCATGAACAAGTCATTAGTGTGTCCAGGGATGGACCATCCCTAGACCTCTGTCCCAAAGTCAGGCAGTCAGAACTTGCCAGGAAAGAGGAAAAAGAAAGCAAATGGGTCAAAGATTCCTCAAGAGAGGAGCGACCTTATCAGGAAGTATTAAACAATCAGGGAGTACAGGCTGAGTGGGAGGCCAGGATTGGGGGCTGTCACTGGTGAGGTCAATTCTTAGAGCAGGGGTCCTCAAACTTTTAAAACAGGGGCCAGTTCACTGTCCCTCAGACTGTTGGAGGGCCATTGGAGAGTGTGGTGCACATTCCACACATGCACACTATGGGCTGGGACAAGTCCACTGCTAAGCAGGACAGGCAACGGTGGCAAAAATACCTGGCAGGCCGCATAAATGTCCTTGGCGGGCCATAGTTTGAGGACCCCTGTCTTAGAAGGTCCCATGCTTCACAGATTATTCAGCCTTCTGGGGCCACTTGTGCCACACTCCTCTACTCAAAACTCCACCTAAGATATTCCTCTGGCTTGAATGCTCTCTGAGATCACCTTCCATGCAGCACTTTAGCTCTGCATGAAAACTGCTGAGGCTTTAAGAAACAATGGTGATATAGCACCTCTTGTATATTCCTGGATACAGCTGGAACCCATTCTACTAAGTGAAGTATCTCAAGAATGGAAAAATAAGCACCAAATGTACTCACCAGCAAATTGGTATTAACGGATCAACACCTAAGTAGACATATAGGAGTAACATTTATCAGGTGTCGGGAGGGTGGGAGGGGGGAGGAGGGGATGGGTATATACAACCAAAACGAGTAAGATGTGCAACATTTGGGGAATGGACACGCTTGAAGCTCTTACTCGAGGGGGGAGGGGGGCATGGGCAATATATGTAACCTTAACACTTGTACCCCCATAATACGCTAAAATAAAAAAATAAAAATAAAAAAGAAAACTGCTGAGGAAGACTGAAAAGAAAACGTTTTCATTTGCCATTTTCACTTCCCCTGGTGGGGCTCTCGACTCTGTTCTCAATGTGGGAAAATCAGAATATATTTTATATTTATTTTATACTTGTTATGTAGCTGTGCCTCCTAAATCTGTCTCCTTAAGTCTCTTGAGCTTGAATATAACACTTATCTCACAAAAATCTTTCACTTTTTTTTTTATTTTTTTAAAAATTTTTTTTTTTAATATGAGGAAGACTGATGGAAAATCTTTCACTTTTGAAATTGTCACTTCCAGACATCCTTTCAAAATGGCTCTTGAAATTTAGCTGAAATTTCAAACAATCTTTCTTCAAGACGTAATATAGAAAAAACATACACAAAGCTCAAATATACATGTGGAACAAGTTTTTGTGGACTGTGAAGTACCATTCTAATGTTAATTCTGTTATTTTTACCTTTGCTTGATACAAACATATTTGAAATTATAGGAGCAAATAACACAGGAACCAGAGAGAAGGCCTCCTCACTGTTCACCTAAGAACAGAAGCCAGATGCAAAGCAAAACCCATAACTACATTTTCTGTTCCTTAAAATCCTCCATCATATGAGGACAGGCTGGGGTTAGCAAAAGGGTGAGAAACTGTTTCCTTTCTCTTGATGTCAAGGCCCATACCTTCTGATATACCCACAGCTCCGCTAGCTTCCTCTGAAGCTCACACTTTAGTCCTTCCTGGATAGCTGTGTCTGAAATGCAGTAGGCCAGGATCTCCAGACATGACTCCAGGGGCCACCTGTCCACAAACCGTAGGGCCAGCCGACTTCTCAGAGATGCATCCTTCACAGGAAACAGGTATTGCCAACCTTCTTTGTCTATAGGACAAAAAAGACGCCCAGAGGCAGCAATCCTGGCAACTGAAGAGCTTGAGAATCCACATTACTTCTTAACAGAAGGGCTTTGTTCCATTTCATAAAAACAGGAGCTTGGAGGATCCTTAAGAGCCATGTGACCTTAACAAGTTTTTATACTTGGAACCATATATGACAAGGAGAAATGTTATACTCCTATGTTTCCCTTTGTGTAAACCTGATCTCCTTTCAGAAAGGAGAGAAGGAAGAAAAGAGAAAGGAAAGGAGAAAAGGAAGGAAGAAGGGAAGGAAGGGAGGGAGGGAAGACAGAAGAAATGAAGGTCTGTACGTTTTGGCATGCTGCATATATAGCACCATTTGTCAGTGGAACTTTAGTTTTCCCTACACTTTCCACTCTATGCTATACATAACTACTTGCAAGTTATTTTGGGTAAACTAGTTTTACTCCTTGGATATTCTCTGTCATCATTACTTAGTAGGTCTCTCTCTTCCACATCCATTTCACAGATCTGATTTGGGAGATATGAAAAAGACTCCAAGCAATTAAGACCACACAGCAAGTCAGAGAGTTTCTCTACCTTCTCAAGGATGGATTTTCTCTTTTCCACAGGGTGGCCAAGCTTCCAAAAGCCATTCCCTATAGCACACCCAACTCTTGCTCTCCTTAGTGGAGTGTTGTAGCTCATTGGCTTTCCACTCTGGTTACACATTGAAATCTTCTGGGAGCTTTAAAAGCAGGGGTCATCAAACAGACCCATAATTTGCTTTTATAATAAAGTTTTATTAGAATATAGCAATGTTTATTCCTTTATTAATTGACTATGGCTGCTTTCATGCTGTAATGGCAGAGTTGATTAGTTATTTTATTTTTTTGAGACAGAGTCTCACTCTGTTGCCCAGGCTAGAGTGTCGTGGCATCAGCCTACCTCACAGCAACCTCAAACTCCTGAGCTCAAGCAATCCTACTGCCTCAGCCTCCTGAGTAGCTGGGACTACAGGCATGTGCCACCATGCCCAGCTACTTTTTTCTATATATATTTTTAGTTGGCCAATTAATTTCTTTCTATTTTTAGTAGAGATGGGGGTCTCGCTCTTGCTCAGGCTGGTTTCGAACTCCTGACCTGGAGCAACCCGCCCGCCTTGGCCTCCCACCAGAGTGCTAGGATTACAGGCGTGAGCCACTGAGCCCCGGCCTGGTTTTTTTATTAATACAACTAAGACTGTATGGGCAACAAAGTCCTTTACAGAAAAAGTTTGCTGAGCCCTGTTTTACAGTGAATACTTGCCTGAACCCCATCCTGGGCCTCTGGGGATGGAGCCCAGATATTTGTGGTTTATAGAATTCACAACAACAATTGTGATATGTAGGATTGAGAATATTGGTTATTGGTTACGAATGCCTGTTCTAAAGTCAGATAGATTTGGGTTCTAAGCTCTACTCCACCACTTACCAGCCTGGGCAAGTTTTTTAACTTCTCCAAGTCTCGGTCTCCTCTCAATAACGTGAGATTATGTTGGTAAATTTCTCTAGAGTTATTGTGAAGATTAAATGTGATGATATATTCAGTGAATGCTAAATATTACCAGTAGTGAAAGAGGAAGGCATAGCTTTCTGCTTACCACATGCCACAGCACAGCTGAGGACTGCATCCTTTATGCTGTTCAAATCGTCCACATCTCGCCCATACACTTCAGTGAGCTGAAGGGCCCGGGGCCAATCTCTGGCCACTAGGGCCTCCTCAAAAGCCTCAGTCAGCACATCTAGGGCATTGGGGGAATGCAGGCCCAGAAGAACAGTAGAAAGACTAGCCTGCCCGCAGAGACTTGCTGCCAGACTCTGCCCCTGCTGAGAGGATCCTTGTAGAGGCTCCCAGGTTGCCTGGAGGGAGGCCTCAAGCATAGGGAATTGTTCCAGAAGGCGCTCACATTCCCGGGCCACCTGCTCTGCAGTGAGAGGCACCTCCCTGCGGCCTCGAAGCTCCTTCCATGACAAGCTGGGCTTGGTGACCTTTAACCCTGGGGAAGCCCGCAGGCAGGCCACCATAGCCAGTAGCTTTGAGCGAGATTTAAGGAAGGCCAAGGTAGAGGAGGTGAGGGCTGGGGGTGATGAATCCGTTGGGGAGGAGTGGGCCTTTCTTTCCAATGTGGGATTCTCAGTTGGCCTTGGGGCACTCAGTGTAGAAAGTGGGAGGTCATCCAGCCAGTGGGAGGTGTGCAGCTGAGCCAGGATGCCCAGGCGGGTCAGGAGGGAGGATGTCTGCTGGCTTTGCCGGGAAGAGCAAAGAGCAAGGGGCTCACAGCAGCAGTTGACGATGACCTGTGGCACACTTAAGCTGAGACCCTCTCGGGCCAGAAGGGTTGCCAGCCTGGAGGGGGAGAAGAGGGGTCATGCAAGGCCTACATACATAGGCATCATCACCCAACCTTACAATTTCCTTATGCTTACACAAACAAATGTAAATGCAGGCTCTTAATTATTCCCCTTTTTTAAAAAAAATTTTAAACATAAAAAGTAGTCTGTTAGAGACACTGCTCTGCCCCTTCCTTTTCTACTTAATAACATATCCGGGAGATCTGTCCATATCTCTGTACAGAGGGGACTCTCATAAGTTTTACAGCTATATGATATTTCATTATGTGGCTCAGCCATAATTTAACTAGTCTTCTATTAGTGGACAATGGAGTTTTCTGATCTGTTGCTATTACATACTAGGCTGTAATGAGGTGATTTTATACACGTATCACTTAATATATGTATAATAACGTTGCAAGTTAAGTTCCCTAATGTGGACCACCAGGTCAAAAGGCACATGAATTTGTAATTTTAATAGATACTGATAAATTGCCTTCCCACAAGGGCCATTTATATTTCTGAGAATGTTTGTTTTCCCACAGCCTAACCAACTATTGTGTTATCAAATTTTGGGATTTTTGCCTACGAAGATTCACCCATTAATCACATACTTCCAATATAAATGTTACAGGTGTCAAGAGAGAAAAAGAAAGAAATGAGGCATGATGAATTTTAATATAGCTGTATAAGAGTAAATGCAAAGTAAAGGCAAAGTCTGGAAGAAATCCTCACCCTCTGTACTGACCACAAGCACAACTGACCTTGGATTTCTTGATGAAATAATCAGGGAGGCCTATGGCCAATTAGATCCTACCTGTCTGGGGGGACTTGTCTCTCAAGCAGGAGATGTGACACCAGTTGGGAAGAGCTTTGTTGCAGCAGAACAAATGGATTTCCTACCTTGACATCCACATGATCTGCAAAGGTAAAGAACATGACCTTTGTTTGCATCACTGGCTGCAATAGTTCTGAGCCCTATTTCTCAGAATCAATAAAAATTAGAGTCAAAATGAAGATAACATTGAGAGCCTTGTTAATTCGTTCTAACTAAAGGGTACTCTCAACCTGACACTAACCACAAGTTTATCTACACCTTGCCATTGCTCTAAAGGCCTCCAACCACAGACAAACTTCAGTGGGTAGGTCTAGTCACAGACAGCTTGCTTCTGCTCTCTTCAACATGACTGAAGTGCATGCAGTACTTACTCTAGAGACTCAAGTAAGAATCTGGTACTCTTATCAGACACTTCATTCCTCTGCTGAGTCCTCAAATCCAAAATGGACCAAGTCTAACAGAGATACTTCTGAACTACCTAATTCCACGAAAATTTATTGAGTTTGCCATGTGCTGTACAACTATGTTAGCAGAAAGATAAATAAAACAGAGATGAATAAAAGAGGAGGACCTTCCGAACCTAGTGTCCTTGGCTATTGCCCAGAACCGCTTAATCAGGCACCCTTCCTCTTCCTTGCCCTGAACGTTGCAGGCTGGCCATGACACCATATCCACTTTCTTGCTACTTACCAGGTTCAGAGCTCAAACTCCGAAGGAGAACTGCAGCCAGGGTGCTGCAGTAACTGAGGAAGGTGCCCATGTAGTCAGTCTGTTTGCTGCCTGCTGGGGTCTGTTTGCCCAGGTTCTTCTGGAGGAGCTGAGTCTGGATGTGCACAGGGTGTGTCTCTGCCTCAGGAGCTTTCTGGGCTGCCTGTTCCACCAGGGAAGAGAGTGGAGGACTTCTGGGCTCTGAAAGGAGTATGGCAGGAGAAGGGATGTGGGCTTTAGTCTGTGCATCCAGCTTTGGGTCAATTTTTGACACAATATGTGAACTGGACCTCCTATACACTGCATGGGGCATCCTATCACTTGGGGCTGCAATTACAAGGCAGATATAAAATCCTGTCAGTCACCCAGACACGTGGCACTAGGCCAGAAAGAGCTTTGAGTTTGGAGCGTATAAAACCAGTCTAGGCATATAGTTTTATTTTTATCCTGGTGTCTCTGGGGTACAATAGCTCTATGAAGAGCATGTCAATCTTTTGTGGAAAGGTTGATCAATATTTACAGAGTAACTGCTGGCTGTATTTTTCATTAAGAATGAAAATGAGGAAATGGAGTGTTGACCACCTTCTCAATTAAGAGGTAGGTGTCTTACCAATAAGTCTAGAGTAAAAATAAAATTAAAAAAAGATGTAGGGAAACAGGTTAAGTTATGAGACGTGCCCTGGCTAACTAAAGGGCTGCCTAAGCCTCTGCTCCAAAGTATTCCTTTACTCTCAGCTGTTTCCTTTCCCCATTTCAGCCCTTAACCTGTTGCCCAGCAGATGCACATACCTGGCAGCTCTAGTGCCTCTCTCAGTGACTGAAGGACCTGATCCAGCTGCTGGGAGAGGGTGGTGTGGCTGGCAATACAGTCTTCGGTTAGGCTGGGCCAGCACATCTGAAGCAGCTCCGTGATGCTATACCGTGGTGAGCCTCCTCCCTTTTCTTCTATACTCTCTATGGAAAGCAAATGAGAAGGAAAAAGTGAAGTCTGCTGCTGACCCAATGTTACAAGTCCAGGAGAAAAAAATGGGACAAAAGCAAATCACCTGATTTAGTCTGTGCAGCTGACATAATCGGATAATTGAGAATCTTACTGATTTGCTGAAGAACAACTGGAAAACCTCGAATGCCATCAGCATTGAGAAGTACATGGTCTAACCGTCGACCTGGAAATAGATGAAGGAAGAGGGAATCCAATAAAAAATTAAGGTATTTTTAATCCTTTGTTTACTTGTGAAATTTTACCTTCTTTGATATTAAGGAAGAAATATATGCTGTGCCATTTTGGACGACAACAAGCATACCTGGTTATTCCATGCTTGAGGTTCCAGGACTACCTCTGGCAAGATATCTTAGCTGTCAACAGCAGCGGATTCAGAATCTCTGCATTTCCTATGGAATTGCTGTTCCAAGCCACTTGGGCACTTCTTGTGGATTTGCTTTGGTTCTGCCCTCAGCTGTGGACTTGAGCTGGGATCATATCTGTCTTTTGTACTTGCTTTAAGTATTTTCTTGACAGTCTGACTATACTATAAACAACTTTATGGACAGGGATTATTCCTGATACCTTTCCTATGCCCCCATATACTTGGAATAATCTAGAAACACAGAGTGTACTAAGTTAATTCTTACTTGATTGTAATGAAACTGTTTTAGCTATTAACAGCTTGAATAATATCTCTTTTCTTTTTTTTTTTTTCTTTAAACAGAAGGTAACCTGTATCTCTTTTCATTTTAGAATATAAGTGTTAATATTAGATGAGGGAGAAGCCAATCATTGGACAAAAATAGCATTGTGTATGCCACAGTATACTTTCTTAGAAGGACTAAGTGAACATTAAAGGACATTTACCCAATAGCTCAGAAGTGATCTGGAGAGGTGTGTAGAAAAGAGTTAACAGAGCAGGCCTAAGACTGCTATCTTTAGAAGGCTTGCTTGCAAGGTTGCCCTTGGCTGGCATCTGTGGACTGGATTGGCAGTTTCCTACACTGAAATAAAACTTTCCTTAATTAATGAGAGTGGCTTACTGGGCCTCAACTGTTTGTATGATGGAACATCTGCTTTCCTTCTGGGACTCTGAAATTTTTTTTTTTTGAGACAGAGTCTCACTCTGTTGCACAGGCTAGAGTGAGTGCCATGGTGTCAGCCTAGCTCACAGCAACCTCAAACTCCTGGGCTCAAGCAATCCTGCTGCCTCAGCCTCCCGAGTAGCTGGGACTACAGGCATGCACCACCATGCCCGGCTTTATATATATATATATATTAGTTGGCCAATTAATTTCTTTCTATTTATAGTAGAGACGGGGTCTCACTCTTGCTCAGGCTGGTTTTAAACTCCTGACCTCGAGCAATCCACTCGCCTCGGCCTCCCAGAGTGCTAGGATTATAGGCGTGAGCCACTGCGCCTAGCCACTCTGGAATTTTTTACATGCTAGGCAGAAGGTGTTTTTGTCCCAACAAAAACTTTGGGCCTTGAGTCTCTAATGAGCTTCCCTGTAGACAACACTTTCCAAAGTGTTGGCACAACTCATTGGTGGAGGAATAAGTATGTTTTGTATGATTCTACAGGGAGAAGACTATTGGAAGTTTGTGCCTGATTTCCTCCAGATTTTATCATGAGCCTTCTCCCTTTGCTGATTTTGCTTTGTATCCTTTTGCTGAAATAAATCTTAGCTGTGAGTATAACTATATGCTGAGTCCTATGAGTTCTAGAAAATCACTGAACCTGGGGGGTGGCCTTGGGGACCCCAGACTATCCATATCATAACCTATTCACCACTCCTCCCTCCACACTGCTGAGGTAGAACACGCTCCTTTCTCCCCCACTACTCAGTCCTTCCAATGTTTGGTGCCTGTGTTAAGGATGGGTGGGGAGTAGAACTTTGCTTAATTGTATCTTCATATACCTCTCCCTTCACATACCTGTTCCTCTAAGAATTCCATACACACATTCTGGGACATTATTAACCCCAAGGTATGATGGTCTCTCCAACTGTGATTCATTAAGTTTTCCCTTACACCTGGTTTATAAGTTCAAGACAGTCCTAGGTTTTAGGTTAAGTGAGGCTCATCAGGAGGGGGCATATAGTCTAAAGGCTCCATTTCCATTGATACCATTTTAGAGTGTATATTTTTTTCTTGAATTTATCTGTAAACCAGAAAATACTTTCCTCAAATGACTGCAAATTGCTGTCTATTAAGAAGGCAAGATTCTCAACAGATTATAAGCCATCAGATTGGACATGAGGACATTTAATTAATAATCCTTTCTCTTTGTCCTCCCTCCTCCAATAACTACTTTCTTCTTTCACAACTTATCAAGGCTCTGATACCCATTTCCTCGTGTGAGAATAAGGGATAAAGCTAAAGCAGCACACTCACCACGGCTTTCAAGGCTACTGTTCAGACGCCGTTCAGCCGTTTCCAAGAGCTGCTTGCAGGTTTTCCAGAGCTGGCACTGAGAGCAAGCTAAGTCAAATGCAGCCATGGCAGGAGGACTGAGGTCTTCCAGAACCTCTCGCAGGGGGTCAGTGGGTTCCACCAGACTAGTGCTTATCCAAAAGTCCTCCTGGAGTGTGAGGATGGGGTCTCCAGAGCTGCTGAGCAGCTTGTCAGTCACGTCAGAGATGGAGTAAAACACCATTCCTAGCCACCCAGCAGTGGAAGAAAAAGTAAGGGGTTAAAATGATTCTAACTACTACTTTCATTACGAAAAGTAGTTATCTTAAAAACATCTGAGGTGCATCTGCACAAGATGTCTTCTATGTATATTAGCACTGTCATTAAAGCCCACTCTTGAAGCATCAAAACAATGGCATAAAAAGGAAAACCAAAGAAAGTCAGAATAGTCCAGATGAGGGAAGGCTTCTTCCAAATGGGATCTAAAATTAGTTTGAGAAGGAATGAGGTGGATCTATGTGTGCTAATCTGAAAAGATCTCTGAAACACATTGCTAAAAAAGCAAGATTGATAACAATATCATCTTCGAGAGCCGACTTATATTAAAATCAAAAAGGATATGCATATATTTGTGTGAATAAGCACAGTAAATTTCTGGGAGAATACATAAGGAGGAAAGCATGATGGTAACTTGACATATAGAGCCTAGACCAGTAACAGATGTGAAAAGTGAGACAAGATTCCACCTTTAAGATATGAAAGAATGAGCTTTTTTTGCAGTGCAGCCAAGGTCAGGAATTGAGATCTGTGAATCCCAGGCCATAAATGTTAATACATAATTTCTCTACTTTACCAAACAGCAAAATAATATGTTTTATCCCTGAATCATTACATGCAAAGGAAATAAACTCCTAAGCATTTCCTCTAGCCAGAGATAGTGGCCATCAGATCACATGGTGGAGACAGCCTTCCTGCTTTTCAGTTTAAGTCATATAGGCCAAGCTTAATGGACTGGCTCGAGTGGCGGTATGTGAACACCACAGTCAGGGAGGTTGGGCACAGCTAGAAAACTACTCTCAATGTGTCAGGATTGTTGTCTTTCAAGGGAGATGTTCTGCTTTGAATTTCTGCTTACCCTGATGAAGAGCCTACGATATGGGTGGTTTCTCCCCTCCTACCCACTCCTCCCAGCCACCTCACCACCTATGGTGGCAGCAGGGAAGTCTGACCTGCTGCTGCAGCACTGCCAATGGCCTGTAGAGTTGAGCGGCCACTGCCAGTTCTTCGAATGGTGTTGCTAACCCCATCAGGGTTCTGGTTTTCAATCTTGTGCTCTACTTGGGCCAGCTCTTGGATCACCTCCTGATAGCGCTCCATGAACATCAGTTCCCCTGAGCTGGGTGAGGACTTTAGGTTGAACGTGAACACCACCTGTCATGGGAGGAGAGGGAAAAGTGTGAGCCATGGTAGACCCACTGAGTCAGGAAATGTCTAGAGATAGGAGATCTTGTCAACCACTAGACTATGGCCTTAAGATGTCTGCTTTGCAGGGTCAGAGAAACACTCGATGTTATAGAAGAGTAGATAAAATATAAGAATTCATAAAAGTCAGTAATATAACCACCAAAGCCTCAGTAGAAAATAGGCAAAATATGTGGACAATTTCAGAGGAAATATATATAACTAATAAATAGATGAGAAAATGTTTTCCCTTATCAGTAATCCAGGAATTTAAGTAACAATATCATTTTGCATCTATCATAATAAAAACATATAAGAATAATCCTCGGGGATGGTGTAACATTAACTGTCACAACTTTTTTGGAAAGCAATTTGGCAATCTATAAAGTTTTAAAAATGGCCAGGTATGATGGCTCATGCCTATAATCCTAGCACTGTGGGAGGCTGAGGCTCAAAGGTCACTTGAAGTCAAGTCAAGAGTTAGAGACCACCCTGAACAAGAGTGAGATCCCATCTCTACAAAAAATAGAAAAATTAGCTGGGCATGGTGGTATGTGCCTGCAGTCCCAGCTACTTGGGAGGCTGAGGCAGGAGGATCACTTGAGCCTGGGAGTTTGAGATTATAGTGAGCTATGATGATGCCACTGCACTCTAGAAAGGGTGACAGAGTGAGACTCTGTCAATCACTCACTCACTCAATAAATAAATAAATAAATAAAAGATTGTATTTCTTGATACAGTAATTTTTATGAGAAACTTTGTTAAGGAAATCATTCAAAAGGCTTAATGCCTAAAGGCACTATTGATTTCAACTGTTACAAAGTTGAAAATAATCTAAATGTTGAGCAACCGGGAAATGGTTTAATGCAGCTACTTGATCAAACTATTGTAAGGTCACTAAAATCAAAGTTACAAGGCATATGCTTATATTGTATTATAAAAATGATATGATATAAAGTTCTAGATTCAAAATGATCTCAGGTATATAAAAGTCATATGTATCTTGGAAAAATATTGGTTAAAAATATACTATATGTTTAATATTGGCTCTTCCATACAATAAGGATTAAAAGTAATTTTATTTTCTTGTTAATACTTTTTGGTGTTTTCTTATAATATGCATAACTTATTCTGTAACTAGGTTTAAAAAAGAAAGTTTTTATTAAAAAAAAGAAAGATCAAGGCTCAAGGACAGGATGTGGGGGACATTTAGGGGTAAAGTGTCATGGGAACCCCCAGCCTACTTCCTCTGGATCTGGGTATAGGAAAGGCTGAGGACAGTCCTCTCTTCACCCGAGGATCATAATTATCACTATTATTAAAGCATGAGATCTAAAATGATCAGAAGAAATTAAACAAAGATTATTTTATTACATAGATTTTTCCTAGATTTATTCCTGAATAAGTGAATTCACACAAAAGACAAATTCTGACCTATGTGTGAAGAGACTCTCATAAATATACCAAGAGAGTTTTAAAAATTAGAAGAGTGATATTTTATGCTGTTAAATTTAAGCAACAGCAGAGGCCTCTTATATTTCTCAGTTTTTACTTTTAATTCTTTTAAAATTTCATTGAGATAGAAAAAGCAGGTATTATATTTAACTTCAATTTTCAAATGAGGATACTGAAGCTCAGAGAGGTTAAGATTCTTTCTGATTGTGACTCTAGTGCTACCTTACCTAAACAACACAAACATTCTAGTTGTTTGCTAGCTCCCTGTACTTCTTGTATATTAAACTGGCATTCTATTTATTATTGACAATTGTCTGCATGCATCATAATTTTTAACTAAATACAATATGTATGTGTTCAGAGAGGAAGCACAGGGAAAGAAACAAAAATTTCAATGTTTTGAAGTAGTGAGATTATGGCTGAATCTCTTAATTTGTGAAAACACCATTTATATTAAAAACATAAACAGGTCAATGTGTCTAAATTTGCAATGCTGAGGATGGGCCCGGACACATGGAAACTCCCTCCTGCTTCTCCAGCTCGACGTGGACCCCCAAGTGCTCCTGGGTGGCTCTGGTTACACATGCATCTAACTTTACTTGAGGCCTAGTGGGCCATAGCCAGCTAGGGGGTGACTTAGCATTCTTTACTATGATAAAGTACAACCTAGGCCCTCTTCACCTGATGAGCTTCTGCAAAGTTCCCCCGGAGGATGCAGGATGCCAGCAGTGACTCAGGTGGGGAGAACATCATGGGGATAAGTGAACTCTGAGGTTGGGGCTGCAACCGGCCATCCAGATCATTCTGCCCAGATGCAGCGCTCAGACTTCCCTCTGTTGGGACATAAGAATGCAGAGTGCCAGAGAAGCAAGAGAAACTGAGGAAACACTATAGTGCTGCCACCTTCCACCAAACCTCTTCTCTCCTTAGGGTCCTTTTCTAAAAGGTCTGTAAGTGGGTCTTGATTTTTCCTCAAATGAAGGGCAAAATTATGCTATCATCTTTGAATATAAGAAGGGGTACCTTCTTATATTCACCTTCCTTGGGTATTCACTTCTATTTAATATTTTACTCTCTTGATGGGAAACTCATGTGTAAGCGAAATAGCCCTTTCCCTTTTCACAGCCCAAATCTTTTTGGCCATCTGCAGAACTAACCTTCTTGAACACAGGCATGAACTGCTCAGTCCTGGTTTTTATACCATGGTGTACGGCAACTCTATATCAGGGCAAAGCTGCATGAAGTTGGCAGCTGGTTGGGACCTGCATACCTGAAGTACTTGTGCTCAGCTCACTACTTGTACTTTCTAGCGATGGGTTGCAACCTCTGTCCCGTCCATCTAGAGGTTTTAGGAAGAAGAAAGAAAATCAATTAACTCTATACAATACAGGAAGTGTGAAGTTAGCTTGAAAACTAAGATCTGGGTAGAGTGAGAAGACAATGGGTAACTACTACACCGGCTGCTCCTTGTACAGCAAAGCGCAAGCTCCTATACACCAAAGGCAAAGGGTGGGCTTAATATGGCCTCAAGACTCACTTGGGCAGGAACCTATACCAGTGGTTCCCAACCTGCAGGTCTCAGGGCCCCATAAGCTTTCAAGTTACTTCTAGGGGTCAGTGACCACCACCTGCATCCTAAGCACTGGCAATATTCAGAAAAAAATAAAAGCCCAACTATTATGATCAGGAAGTAGTAGGGTACAAAGGAGGCCAGAATATTTTCTGACATAGAAAAAGGTGTCCTCATATTTGAAAAGGTAGAGAACCAAACTATAAGACCTTTCTAGCCAAAAACCATGATATTCAAAGCCATGATGGAAAAGCTTCTTCTCAACACCAGCTTTCCTGAAGTGCTAAGGCTTTCAAGCAGAGGCTAAATATTACTTAGTGTGGTTATTCAAGGGCCATATCAGCCCCAACCTCATTCACCGTTTGGGCTGCCCTTTAGAAGGAACATGCCACTGTAGGAAAGAGATGATGGACTGTTCACTCTTGGGCTAGATGGGTCAAGTGGATGCAAACTTTGTTTTTTGACCCAAACCAATTAATTAGTTTAAGGATGTTAGCAACTCAGCCTTTTAGTTTTTCTAGGTTTCTCTCATGGCATCTTCTACCTTATGCAGTACACTCACCTTTCTGTTGCCAATCATTCTTCTGAGCTTGGTTCAAGAACCTACTAATTCATGAAATAAATCTGTTTCCCTGAGTTATGTAGGCTACCATCATGGCCCCGTCTAAGAGATTTCTTCTGTTTTTAGGCAGAGACTCAGGTGAGTTTAAATTTTTCATGTATGCTGTCTACGCAGGTAAATTATAAATTCTTTGAAGGCAAAGGCCTGGTTTATGCCTCCTCCACCTCCCTCAAGATACCTAGTATTGTTTAGCACATAGGAAACCCTTATGAATTCCTCATTAATTATTTAAAAGATCAGCACCAAAGCCATAATGGAATTTGATTATCTAATACTCCTTCTTTATGTGCCTGCATTAAACTCCTCTAAGAAAAACCTATAAACAGAGTCAAAAGACAAAATATGAAAAAAATTATAGCACATAATGACAAAATATTTTCCTTAATGTCTAAGGAGCTTTCTACAATTCAATAGGAAAGAGAACACAATAGAAAAATGGACCTTAGACATGATTAGGCAGTTTAAAAAATTACTATTAAAGCAATGATATATCATTGTTATATTAATTATATTGATGAAGATTTTAAAAAATTGATACTACTCATTGTTGATGAGTGTAGGTACAAATAGGCAATCATGTATAGCTGGTAGAAATACAAATTGATCTATTTTTTAAAAGACAAAATTGGGTAATATCTGTCTATATTTTATATCTGCATGTCTGTGACCTAGCAGTCCTACTGCTAGGAGCTTATCCTACTCACATAAATATGCAAGACATGTATAAGGTTGTTTATTGCAGCATTATTTATTAATATAATAGTAAAAAACTGGAAACAAATGTCCATGAACAGGGTATATATGACAATGGAATACTAAGCAGCCTTTAAAATGAAAAGTGAAAGAAGTTTGTTCTCAATATACAATATGATGTGTGTATATATAAAAGGCTATATGTTTGCATTGCATGGAAAATTTCTGGAAGGATATATAGAAACAATTGACAAGGGTTACCTTGGGGGAGTTGGAACAGGATAATCTTATAACACTTTGTTTTGACCATGTGCTCTATCTTAAAGACTATTAGATGAGTGGCAATATACCACTTGCCTTGTGCATGGGAGCAAGGTACAGGGAGAGAGCTCTTCAGATTACCTGCACGGCTCCTTCTTGTCCGGCGACCCCGGCGGAGACTGGAGTGCCGTGTGGCAGTAGGTCGGTATCTTCGGGAAGGTTGCTCTTCTGTAACAGCAAACCCAATGGGACATACAGAAGAGTGACCAACTTTGATTTGACCCACTTCTTAGGGGAACAGGTAGGGGAAGGTTTGCACTGGGCTCTGAGACATGGAGAAACACCCCAGTGTTGTGACACTGGTTGCTACGGTGATGTGCCCTGAGTTATGGTGTTGCTCCCATGCATTCCTAGCTCTCTTCCATGTCTCTGGGCTTTTTCTCCTTCCCTGTCTTCTGGACCCACCAATTCTGCTCCCTCCTCTCACCTGAGCCCTGGTTGCTTGTTACCACCTTGTATCTCCATTGCGCCTCAGAGAGAACCTTGGAAAACCGGTGTAGGCGGCTCTGCAGTCCATCTTTGCTTCCTGAGCAGCTCTGGCCTTCTGGAAGCTTTGGCTTCTCAGAGGGACTGTGGCTGCTGATCTCATCCAGTTGCTCTTGGAGAAGCCTCAGGAAGGCCCCTATTGCAAATTCATCAGCCAGGAATGCACTGATACCACTAGTAAAGTGCTTTAGGTCCAAAAAGCTATGCCCATGAGGCCCTGGGTAACTGTCTTTTGGTTCTTCCTTCAGACAGCTTGGCATTGTATAAGCAAGGCTCCTGGGGACTCCTAGTGGAGCCCGTTCTGACTTTTGCTCAGGTTGTGGTATGTGCTGAGGGCTCTCTGATGGGGACCTTAAACCCAAGGGGCCCTTCCCCTCAGTGTCATCATCGTCAGCATAGTCCTCAGGCAGGTGAGGCTCTGGGTGAAGATCAGCAGAGGTGATGAGAAGCAATGAGAAGATATTTTCTAGAAGTTCCAGGCACAAAGAGTCAGGAATACTGCAGAGATACTGTTGACACTTGGCCAGGTAAGTTGAGAAGAGATTTGCAGCACCTATAGAAGCATGTATAAGGAAAGAGGCCAGATAAAGAGAAGAAAAGATAGGGAATACGAACATTAGAAACATTACTTGCCAGAATCAAACATTCTTACACCTTTAGCTCATTTATTTATTCCTCAGAAGAATAAGAGAGACTACTCAGCGTGTCTCCTCATGACTTGCACAAAGATTTTGCTACTTTAACTAAAAGCACAGCTTACTGAACACTCATTATTTTGTTTCTGTCTTTTTAACATTACATTGTTCCTCATTCCTAACAAGTACTCCATATTTGAGTTCCAGGAATGAAGGTAATGCAGATGTAGATTCCTTACTTCTCAATTCTATTTTCACTTATTCTTACACTAAAGGTGACCACAAGCTACTGAGATCTCTTAAGAAATACTCAACAGCCAAAAAATGACAATGCTCAGAGGTGAAGGTCTACTCCAAAGCTGGGAGAGAGTGATAACTAGTTACAGAAAGCAAGTTAAGGAATTATAAGTTATTAAGAAAAATGAGAGGGTACGACATTAGGTTGGTATTTTTCATACTATAGGCTGTGACCCATGAAATTGATTTAGAGGGCTGCATTTAAAAAAATGAAATAGAGCAGAAAAGTAATCAAGAGCAATGCTCCATTTGGAAAAGTACCATTTCTTAAAACTTGGATTCAGTTTACACACACACACACACACACACACACACACACATATGCAAACACACAAATTATATACTAGGTGCAAACTGGAGTGGCATGTGGATTGTAGATAAAGTAAAAAGAGTTTAGAAAACACTGCATTAGATGATCAGACTCCATTAAAATTTAGGCAGTCACTTGCTTTCTCCACGCCCCTTTGATCTGATTCATGGATGAAATTATTCCTGGGTACCATAAAACCAAGGCCACTCCCTTCGCCAATTCTGGTGGAAGAGGGTAACCACAAAAAGCCCTCACTGTGATAAGCTGTTACCAGCTTTTGCCAGGAATGGGGGGAAACACACTGTACCTGGGAAGGAGAGAGAGTCATCCACTCGCTCTGCAGCTGAGGCCAGGTCCTCAGAGGGGCCGTGTTTGCAGTCATGGCACTGGGAGTGCTGGTGTGAGTTCACGCAGAGGGCATAGATGGCATACTTCATGGCACAGAAGCCCTGGTAGAGTGTCAGGTTCGGACACTGGCTAAGGTGCTCAGGGACTAGGACATCAACTGAATCTGAATTGTAGAGAGAAACAAGAAGAAATTGAGAGCTAATTCTTTCAGGCATGGGCTACAAGTATGTCTGAAGCAAAGAGATGCCATACTTGTAGGTTCTTTTTTTTTTTTGAGACAGAGTCTGGGTCTGTTGCCCTGGGTAGAGTGCAGTGGCATAATCATAGGTCACTGCAACCTCAAACCCCTGGGCTCAAGTGATCCTCCTGCCTCTGCCTCAGCCTTCCCAGTAGCTGGGACTACAGGTGTGCACCACGCCTGGCTAATTTTTCTATTTTTTGTAGAGTCAGGGTCTCACGGTTGCTCAGGCTGGTCTCGAACTCTTGACCTCAAGCAATCCTCCCACCTCGGCCTCCCAGAGTGATAGGATTACAGGCATGAGACACCATGCCAGGCCTGTGCTTGCAGGTTCTTACCTTCTCTTCTTTCTGTCAGTCTGATCTGTGTCCCTTCCAGGCCTTTTCCTCTAGTCAGTATCAACTTTCAGTCCCCTCTATTTCCTTTTCCCCACTGACCTCCCTTCTACATAGCCCATGACTGGTATGTAGTATTATTGCCTAGGGCCAGGACTTGCAAGCACCTGAGAGTCAGTGCCTCCTTAAATGCCTCTCCTGCCTCACCCTAGTCCTGGCCCTATCATTGCCCCTCTTTTGCCTTTTCCAAGTTCAAGTGTCCCAGTGGGTTGCTGGGATTATTAATAGATTTCAAATACTGTACTTCTCTGAAAGGCTTTTATACTTGTATGTCGAAGCCAGAGTTCTAGTTCCTTTAGAAAATCTGCTAAACAAGCTGCCTATCTTTCTAGGAAAAAATATGGAATAATAACACTGGTTTTCCAATTAGTATTAATAGTAGGTCTTTTTGAAAAATCAACCAAAGCCACATCTAGGTTGGGAAATCTATATTGCCATATGAAAAAGTTTGTGTCTCCCAAAGGCAAGTGTCCCTGGCCTCTGTGGCATGTTGTAAATATACAATGATTTGATTTTTGAGAGCAAAAAGAAAGAGCTTCCTCCATAATGTATACATGTATCAAAATATCACATTGTATCCAATAAATATACACAATTATTATTTTTCAAGTAAAAATGAGATTAAAAACAAAAAAAGAGCTTCCTAATGGAATCTTGAATTTAAGCAAAGATCTAAGGCTAAAATAAGGCTTTGTTATCATTTCAGGCAAATCTTTCTTCTAAACCTCTTGATCTGTTACATGGCATATGAAGCAGATATAGGAGGGAAGGAAGGCGCAAAATATGTTCTGAGAAAACTTAGGAAGCATGAAGTGATTTGCTAAGACTTTGTATAAAAACTTACAGCGACAATGCTGTATATTTGGAGGGCAGTTCCTAATTTTGTTTCATTGGAATGAGGGAATGAGGGTATACTAGTGGTTCCTGAGATGGTTCTACAAGTACTGTGCTCTTGGGATTTCCTACAGCTCACCAGAAAAATGGGAGGAATGCCCCTCCCTATATCCCATAATCTGATTAGGACAAACGGTGCTAATTTAAAGGACACCTGCTGGACCAACCTCTTGATAAATCTCAGAAATAACCCCTAGATAAATCTTATGCTGGAATAAATATGTGCAAGATTGTCCTAAGAGGGAATCCTGGTCAAGTTATTCCATTACCAACTCACCTTGCTGGAGGTCCTTGCCTGGCACCTTCTGTAAGAGCTTGAGAACATCTTCCTCTCTGAGGGCTGGAAGGTTTGTAAGGTGATGGAGAGTGTAGAGTACTGAGTGGTTGTCTCCACCATGTAAATGACTCAAGAGATCTCTCTTTGGTATGGGGTTGCTGAAAGGGAAAGTTGAGAGGATGAAAGGGAGGCAGTTTGTATACTTGCCCTGAAGAAAGACCAATCTCCATTCTCTCTTGTTCTTCCTCTCCTGCCTATACCACCACAGGTTACATTTCACTTCCCCAAATTCTAAATTTTAGCTGTTCTGGGATAGAGAATGACATTTATTTACCCTCAGGGATGTAGTTGCATCTAATCAGCTCTACTAGTCTATAGAGGACCTTTTCTAGGGCCTTTCTGGTTAGTAGGGTCTAGAAAGGGCCTGCAGATAGAATTTCCTAACTTATACACTCTTTCTAGCTTTCAAACTGACACAAGCTTCCCTAGCTGTACTTGGAGTAAGGGCCCCTTACTACTTCCTCCTCTGCCCACTGTACTTTAGGAAGTGCTGGTGAGGTGGGTGAGGAACAGGATAGGAATCCAGATCTAGGATAAGATATCCAGGAAATGCAGGGCCTCGCACACACACAGTTCAATAAGCATTTGTTGAATAAAAATGTGATCCAGGATAACATATAACCAAGAATGTGGATGACATTTACTAGCTGTGTGTGACTTTGCGTAAGTTATTTACCACCTCTGGACTCCAGCTGGCCCACCTTTATTTTTATTTATTTATTTTTTTGAGACAGAGACCTACTCTGTTGCCCGGGCTAGAGCGCCGTGGCGTCAGCCTAGCTCACAGCAACCTCAAACTACTGGGCTCAAGCAATCCTGCTGCCTCAGCCTCCCGAGTAGCTGGGACTACAGGCATGCACCACCATGCCCGGCTAATTTTTTCTATATATATTAGTTGGCCAATTAATTTCTTTCTATTTATAGTAGAGACGGGGTCTTGCTCTTGCTCACGCTGGTTTCGAACTCCTGACCTCGAGCAATCCTCCCGCCTTGGCCTCCCAGAGTGTTAGGATGACAGGCGTGAGCCACCGAGCCTGGCCTGGTCCACCTTTAAAAGGATGATAACATTGGTATCTACCTCACAGGATTATTAAGCTTCAGTGAAATTATCCACGTAAAGAGCTTAGAGCAGTGCCTGGCATATAGTAATTGCTCAGGAAATGAGAGCTATTGTTCTTTTTATTATCGTCATCCTAAAACTACCCTCTAGTTATGACCTGATGGCCATGGTGAAGCTAATCATTACTTATGTTTCCTTCCTGCTTTAATAGTTGGAACAGTTATTAGTGGCAGGTCAACATTTCAACCTAAAACATTTATGTGGAAGACATCTTGAAATGGCTACACACATGGAGCACAGGGTCAAGTGTGCCCAATGGTGGGAAGGGGGCTGACTGCACAGGGCCATACCTGCTCTGCTGAACACACCACTCCAAGACCTCCAGGTGAGCCCACAGCCCATCACAAGCATCCCTGAGGAGCTTATCACAGCCTTGGTCCTATGTTGATATGGGAGAAGAAAGAGATGCTAACTCAGGCACCTGGGGTCAGAGATTATAACCAACTTCAGGACCCTGCATTCTGCATAAGCCCAAAGCCTCATGGCAGTCACTTCTAGAGCAGCCTGGGGTACAGAATGAGATTACCTGGGTCCTGTGCAGTGCCTGGAGCAACCTCTTAGCTGACTCTAGGCTCTGGCAGTGTGTCCAGCCCAGGAGCACAAGCAGGCGACTAAGAGGCCTGAATTCTCTATCTAGCAGGCAGCTGAGACTTGGGAAGTCCTCCTCTTTCAACAGTGTTAGTGCTGTTACCTGTAAGCCAAAACAGGCTGTTATAGGTAGCTGTGTGGACTAGAAAGAATGCGTTCTAGCTTACTGCTTATTAAAGAAAAGAAGTTAGTCTGAGATAACTTTATCTCTACAAAATATAGAACAATTAGTCAGGTGTTTATAAAAACACTAGACTGCAAATTCCTTGAAGGCAGGGACTGAATTATCTTGTAACCCCAGCTCCTAGCATAATAGTACTTGGCACACAGGATGAGATTAATAAATATCTATGGAATTAAGCTGAAGCTCAGATGCAATCTGGAATAAAAAGTTTACAGTGATTATATTCCCTTGTCAGCGAGGCAACTTATTGCTGCCACTGCTTTTTCTTTCTCATACCATCCAGAAAGTGTACACAAACACAGCATTATAGTTTCTACCAAAAGACCAACATAAAAGGACTGCAACTGTAAGTATGAATGGTACTGATTCTCAGAGCCTCCTTTCGTCTGAGACTGCGGCATGGACAGAAGCAAATGACTCTCCACTAATTAGACTACTTTGTGTTGGATAAATGAGTGGGAGAGAAGGGAGGAATGAAAAAGCCTGGGGAGAATCCCTGGGTCCTTCTGTGTTGGAGAATAATTAAGCTTGACTTACCAGGATCTGCTCAAGGAAGTGCTTGCTATTGCTCAGGCAGTAGAAATAGGCCACTTTCCAAGCCTGGGCTGGGTCAGGATTGGAGAAGAGGGCTAGCATTGCCTGCTCGGGATCTAGATGATCTGGTGAAACTGAACATCAAACCAGACAGGGTTATTGGGAAACCAAGACCTCTTCTTTTCTAAGATAGAGCCCATTTGAAAAACCAACTGATGTGAGACTTTGTACTCTTAAGCCAGGTTTTCCATAGTTTATCTTAGAGTCTTTACTTCTTTCAGTTGCTTCTGGAAAGCTCTTTCCTACTATTTCTATGACTTTATCCCCCCTCCCATCATTCCATCTTACACTAGAAAATCTGTACCTTTACCAAAGAACATCTTACCCATTTTTGATTAACCTCTCCTGTTAGATGTCCTGAGCAACATGGAAGGCACCAGTCTAGAGGACTTCAGAGAGGCTGGGCATATTGGATTAACAAAACAGAAGAAAAAGCAGTAAAGGGAACACACCTTTTCCTGAAGTTGTGGCCCTCGGCAGCTTTTTTGTGACCTTCTCTGCATAGGTATGGCCATACAGGGACACCAGGCCTCGCCCAGCCTTGTGCAGCAGACAGCCTAGCACCTGTTCTTCCCGCAGGGGACTCCCCTCAGTCCTGCAGGCTTCCAGGAGTTCCTCACACAGGAGATGCAACTTAGTTCCAAGTGGCTCTGCAGGGCAACGCAAGGTCCGCAGGGCTCCGTAGATGGCACTGACTACCCCAGGGGGCCCTGAGTCAGGGCCCTGCAAAGTTTGCAGTGCCTTTCTAATCAGGTCCACCAGTGCATTCTGCAGAGGCTGGTGACAGAGACCAGTGCTGTCATCTTCCCCAAGCAAGAGCTCCAGCAGAGCCTGCGCTGGCTGAGGAGTCTGTCTCAGAAGATCCCACAGCACAGAGAGAGCTTCAGAGCTGAGTTGCGGAGTCCAGCTCTCCCTCCTCTGATTTCCATCAGGCACAGGGCTGACTGCACCTTGTGCTAAGGTCTCGTACAGCTCCTAAATACAGGATGAAGAGAGAGATAGGTGCTGGGCATTTCTAGAATGTTACCATTTGTATGCTTTGATGCTTTCCTCTTTTTCAGCACATATATATATATATATATAAACATGATATATATATCATGTTTCCCTGAAAATAAGACAGGGTCTTATATTTATTTTTCCTCAAGAAGACACCCTAGGGCTTATTCCATCAAAGTCTCAGCTTGCAGCACGCATAGCATGGCCGGGACCTAACAGAGGAAGCCAACCTTGTTGATGGGGCTGTCCGCACCTTTCCAGTCATCTCTGGGATAGTAGCTGTCACGATGGGGCAGATGAGAAGGGCTGCTTGTCTTCTTTACTGCTCTGTGACAAAACCATGGGTTGTGCAAATATGCTGCGTAGCCACGCCCATCACTAGGTCTTATTTTTGGAGTAGGGCTTATATTGCGCAAATGCTTAGAAATCCTGCTAGGGCTTATTTTATGGGTAGGTCTTATTTTCGGGGAAACATGGTAAAATAGTAGAAGTAGCAAACACTTCTGTAGCAGTTACTATATTCCAGACACTGTTCTAGGCTCTTTACACAGAAAAATCAAATTAATCCTTATAACAACCTTAAGAGGAAGACATTATCCCCATTTTACAAATAAGGAAGAGGCTAAGGAAGATTAATTCAATTGTTCAGTGTCTCCATGATTAAGTTATTACCACCCCGCTACCTCTGAAATGTGTACTGGTGATCTAAATCAAGGACTGCAAACTCATAGATCAGCTAGGTAAGACATTATGCCCTTCTAAAGGCCTTTAAATTCAATTTTAAAAAGAACATTACACATCCGGGCCGGGTACTGTAATCCTAGCACTCTGGGAAGCCGAGATGGGAGAATCACTTGAGGCCAGGAGTTTAAGATCAGCCTGAGCAAGAGCAAGAAGCTGTCTCTGCTAAAAATAAAAAAAAAATTAGCTGGGCATGGTGGCATGTGCCTGTAGTCCCAGCTATTCAGGTGGCTGAGGCAAGAGGATCACTTGAGCCCAGGAGTTTGAGGTTGCAGTGAGTTATGATAACACCACTGCACTCTATCAAGAGTGACAGAGCAAGACTCTGTCTAAAAAAAAAAAACAAAAAAACATTACACATCAGTTTTTAGACCCTGATCTAAATCTTAGCCATGCTTTAATGTATTGTCTATTCCTTATCCTTCCAGAAAACCCTTCCCAATACCTCCAACCCACACAACTTCAATGTACTTAAAATTAGTACCATATGGTTTAGTACATAATTGTATTGTGTGTATACAATAGTCCTTCCTCCCTAAGCCTTTAAAAGCAAGAACCTCTATAGCCTATCTTCTGTTTGTGGGGTGATGGTAGAGGGAGGAAAGGGGGTGGGGAAGTAGGTTATTTCCCACCCTTAAACACCATACCTATAGGTAGTGCTCAGGGATGCCTCTTTATTAACTGCCTCAGAGATGGATCACAAGACCATGAGTCCATGACCTAATACAAGTGACTTAAATCCTACTGTAAATATATCTTTAGTTAACTGGTGGCAGAGTCATTAAGAAAATAAGTATCGAGCCTCAGAGCATACCTCAGGCACTTCAGTATTAACTGATATATGAAATATACGTATAAATAACAATTAGTTTGAATCTGCCCCCAGAAAGTTATTGTGAGGATTAACTCTAATACATTCAGCACACCTGTTATAGAAAAGATATTCAACAAATATTAGTTCCTTTTCCCCTTTATATTCCCTACCATCTCCTAGTAAAATACTCAAACATCTTAGTTTAAATCTAAGTTATATGTTCCTTCTACTCGACACGAAAAAAATCTGTAATCCACAGCTGTATTATCTACTGCTGGACAACCCATCTCAAGAATTCTAAAATCAGATGTTTACCCTAACTCTAAACTCTCCTCAAAGGAGCCTTTACCTTGCCTTGTCTGAGAACAAAGTATAGCCAGCTTCTTGGAGACCTGTCTCTGCTGGGTGCCTGGAAGCTAGGAGCCTGAAGCTCGTTGAGTTAACTGCAACCCTGGGCAGATGGTCCCAGGGCCCTCTCTCACCTTGAGGATGTTCTCTGGAATGTCACCAGGGAGGTCTTCTGACAATAAAAGAAACTCAAGCTTTTTCCGGAAAACAGCTGGGAGTAACTTCTAAAAGAATCATAAGAAGGAATGATAGAGATTAGGTACATGGTTTAATTCAAAAGTTATAAGTAAATATTTCTCTCCAGTTAGTCTTATTTCTGCAATTTCTCTAAGATAATGTACTTTTAATCACTAAATTCCTGGATGTTTTCAGATACTTTCTTTATAAACAAAAACAGCTAAACTTGGACATACGCCTCTCTTAAAAAGTAATACTTAAAGCCTACACTGATCAGCTTCAAACTCCAAAGTTTGTTCATTTCCTGTGACCTTTTTTTTTTTTTTCCACTGGAGGTCTCTTCCCAACAATCTTCCTTGCTGTGTCCAAAATACCTAGTTATGGGTAAGCCTAGGAGAGTATGGCCCACATGATCCTCTTTTGGTCCAAACCCCTGTTTTTGATATTCACTATCCTTTGCATATCAGTGGGAGAAGCAAAGTATGGGGGTAGGGATGTAATGTATAGTAAACACTTATTATATACCAGGTACTATGTGCTGTATTTTTTATCATTTAATTTCCAAATCAAACAAACCTATGGCACATAGTTATATATTTTCAAAAAGAATCTTTTATAAGAGGTGAAATGGTTAGTTACGAAGCATTTTCTAATTAGTTCAAACAAAAAGGAAAATGTGATCCCAATGTTTGTTAATGAGATGTGCCATCAGAGAGTCTAATGTATAAATAGAAAGCCTCTGACTCTTCCTGCACCTGCTTGTTTCACAATAACTTCCCTTCATCTGGTCCTTAAAACTTAAATTAAAGTCTCCCTTTCTCCGGACAAATAAAAATAAGATTAGAGTCTGGGACTAATCCTGACAAATACTACTTTTGAGACATTTGTAAATCAGGCCTCCGGTTAAAGTTTCCCAAGGATGAGTTTTATTGGAAAGCAAGAAGCAACTGTAGGATTTTGTGTGTGTGTGCATGTTTGTGTGTGTGTGTGTGTGAGAGAGAGAGAGACAGAGAGAGAGAGGGAGGAAGGGAGAAGGGTTTAGAACACAAGATCATACTACCTCCATTCATGTACCATTCATCACATCAGAGGTTAAATATGAGCTAATAACTCTTGGCGCAAAATCTCATTTCTTCTTGCCATGCTCTTCCCTAATATGTGCACCAATGCCATGTGAATGCTTGTATAATGTCTATGATTGGAAGTTGGTGGAGAAAATTCATGTTGGAAAGCTGAAGATCAGTGTTTCTATTGAAGACTAAGAAAAAGGATTGGTGTCTAAGACAGCAAGCTGGTTAAGACTTTATGACTTCATCTAGAATTCTAAAGACTGATTAGTTTATACTTATTTTACTGGTAAAATTACTTTAAGCATATGCAGGGTTACAAATAACTAACATTCTTAAAACAGGCAAGAATTTGCTCAATATTTCTAGATTTTCCTTTTTTTTAAAAAAAGTAACTTTTTAAAATTAAAACATTTTAATTATGGGTACATAATAATTATATATCTTTATAGAGTACATGTAATATTTTGATACAGGCATACAATGTGAATTAATGAAATCAGGGTAATTGGGGTATACATCACCTCAGACACTTATCATTTCTTTGTGTTAGGAACATTCCAAATCCACACTTCTAGTTATTTTAAAGTATACCTTAACTTATTGTTGATTATATGAGACATTTTGTTGTGTTATCAAATATTGTTCATTCTGTCTAACTAACTATATTTTTGTACCCAATTTTTCTATTTGTCTATTAATTATATTTGCAGTTGCTTTATTATTTTTTATTTATTTATTTTTTTGAGACAGAGTCTCGCTTTGTTGCCCAGGCTAGAGTGAGTGCCCTGGCGTCAGCTTAGCTCACAGCAACCTCAAACTCCTGGGCTCAAGCAATCCTACTGCCTCAGCCTCCCGAGTAGCTGGGACTACAGGCATGCACCACCATGCCAGGCTAATTTTTTTCTATATATATTAGTTGGCCTATTAATTTCTTTCTATTTATAGTAGAGACGGGGTCTCGCTCTTGCTCATGCTGGTTTCGAACTCCTGACCTCAAGCAATCCTCCCGCCTTGGCCTCCCAGAGTGTTAGGATTACAGGCGTGAGCCACCGCACGCGGCCTAACCATCCCCTTTTTATCCCCCTGTCCCTGCTACCCTTCCCAGACTCTCGTTACTCTGTCTCCATGAGATCAATTGTTTTTAATATTTAGCTCCCACATATGAGTTAAAACATGTGACATTTGTCTTTCTGTAAGCACAGGTTTTCTTACCATAAAAGCCAGTCATGTTCAATGTAGAAAAATTAGGATATACAAATGAGCAAACTAAAAAAAATATATATAATATATATATATACACACAAATGTATATATATTTATCTCACACCACATCTTCTTATTAAAGAACTATCATTAATATGTCTAAGGGCATTCAGACCATTTTCTTTCTTTCTTTTTTTTTTTTTGAGACAGAGTCTCACTCTGTTGCCCAGGTTAGAGTGCTGTGGTGTCAGTATAGCTCACAGCAACCTCAAACTCCTGGGCTCAAGCAATCCTTCTGCCTCAGCTTCCCGAGTAGTTGGGACTCCAGGCATGCGCCACCATGCCTGGCTAATTTTTTCTATATATATATATATTAGTTGGCCAATTAATTTCTTTCTATTTATAGTAGAGACAGGGTCTCGCTCTTGCTCAGGCTGGTTTCCAACTCCTGACTTTGAGTGATCCTCCAGCCTTAGCCTCCCAGAGTGATAGGATTACAGGCGTGAATCACTGCGCCCGGCCCAGACCATTTTCTATACACATCTTTATGCTCATATGCCAAATGTACTTTTTTTCTAAACTGCTTTTTCCCACAGAGCAGAGCATGAGCATCCTTTCACATCTGAAAATTCATTTACTACATGATTTTGAATAGTGGCATAGTATTTTACATATAGATATACTTCCATTTATTAACCATCCCTGTATTGTGGACATGGGAGTTGTTTCCAGTTTCCCTCTAATAGAAGCAGCATAAAAGTGAACATCTAAATCTTTGTACACACACTTGTACATGTAGAAAGAAATCACTGCAAGATAAAGAGGCAAAAGGAAAAAGTGAATGAAGGAAATAGAATCACTGTGTCACCTAAGAGTTAAAAGGAAGCTTTTGGCAGAAGATGAAAGGCTGCAAAAGGAAAGGCAGCCAGCAAATCCCTAGAAAATGAACACACCTCCAAGATAATGACTGACCTGGTAAAACTACTTCAAGAGTGCATTTGAAGTCTTGGTCCTTATTTAAAGTTTTAAAATTCTCTGAGGAACTAAAATATTCCCACAATTTTTTATTTTTTTTTTATTTATTTATTTTTTTACATTATCAGCACCACATGTAATCCCACAATTTTTAAAACAAGTAAGTCACTGGAACTTTAAAGACTAATGATCTGTGAAGCTGGGAAAAACAAGAAAAACTCTTAGCCTATGCTAAAGAGCCAGGGAAGTGAAATCTACCACCTGACATGGTTGAGTAACTGTCTAGAAAATAACCAACCAACAGGCATGAAGTAAGCTGAGGGGAAAGTTCACTGGGTTTGACAAATTCCATGTTTATACTAGAGAGATCCTTAATCAGTAACAAGAGTTCTTTTCTTTTTCTCTTCAAAGATACTATTTTAACTATGGTATTATTAATACTATTTTAGCTCAGGTTTTTTCTTTTAAATCTGAAACCATAGCCAACTCTTAATTATCCTGGGTTCCTTATTTTTCAACCTTGCTCCTCTTTCTTTCTTCTCCTGCTAGTCTTTTTATCATTTTTCATTGCTAGACAATTGGCTAAAGTCTGGATAAGAGATACATCTAAATAAGAAATTTCTGTTACTTTTTGACAGCTATGGGAAGAAAGATAAATGTCATGCAAAAATCGAACTAAGGACAAAATAATTCTGATGACCTAGAACAAAAAAAAATAAGAAAAATTAATGTGAATTATAGACATTTAAAAAATAGAATTTTTGGTTTTTTACTTTTAAGTCACTAAGGGGTAAAAAATAACATTGAGGTAGAAAAAGCATAGGACTAGGAGTCAAAAGATCTTGGTTTCAGTTCTGCCAACTAACTTTACTGTATGTCCTTGAGCCAGTCATTTCTCTTCTGAGTCAGAGGTTCCTTATGTAAATCTTAAAGTCTAAGGCCGGGCATGGTGGCTCACGCCTGTAATCCTAGCACTCTGAGAGGCTGAGGCAGGTGGATTGCTCGAGATCAGGAGTTCGAAACCAGCCTGAGCAAGAGTGAGACCCTGACTCTACTATAAATAGAAAGAAATTAATTGGCCAACTAATATATATATAGAAAAAATTAGCTGGGCATGGTGGCGCATGTCTGTAGTCCCAGCTACTTGGGAGGCTGAGGCAGGAGGATTGCTTGAGCCCAGGAGTTTGAGGCTGCTGTGAGCTAGGCTGATGCCACAGCACTCTAGCCAGGGCAACAGAGTGAGACTCTGTCTCCAAAAAAAAAAAAAAAAAAATCTTAAAGTCTGAGGTTCAATATGAAATAGCCTCAGAGAAATTCCTTTAGTGGATATAAATTTCTGATAATTAAAACAAACTTTCTAGGCTGGGCGCGGTGGCTCACACCTGTAATCCTAGCACTCTGGGAGGCCGAGGCGGGCAGATTGCTCGAGGTCAGCAGTTCAAAACCAGCCTGAGCAAGAGCAAGACCCCGTCTCTACTATAAATAGAAAGAAATTAATTGGCCAACTGATATATATACAAAAAATTAGCCGGGCATGGTGGCACATGCCTGTAGTCCCAGCTACTCAGGAGGCTGAGGCAGTAGGATTGCTTGAGCCCAGGAGTTTGAGGTTGCTGTAAGCTAGGCTGACGCCACGGCACTCACTCTAGCCTGGACAACAAAGTGAGACTCTGTCTCAAAAAAAAAAAAAAAAAACCAAAACAAAAAAACCCCACCAAACTTTCTAGAAGGGATTTAAATGGAAATTTTCCTTTGAAAAAAGTACTTCCTTAATAGTTTTCTTTCACTATTAATTTGCTTGCTGTTTTTATATTTGGTAACTTTTAATTCAATTCATGTGAATTAATGGGGCTTGAATCTATAGGATTTCACTGTATTGGATTAGTTAAAATAAGATTTTTTGGAAGAAAAACCAAGTTTCAGCTCAGCTTATTCTCTATTATTTGAGTGTTGAGTAGATCCAAATGTTACGGGTTCATATTTTATTTGCTATATTGTCACTTAAACTAAGTAACGCAAAGTTATCTTCAGGCACATGACTCATAGTCATATTTAACAAAATGGCATCACCTCAAATAGTATATATGACAACATATGTTAGTGAATTAATGAATGAGTGTATGTAAGGAGACGGCAATAAAAATTTAAGCCATGCTTACTGTCAATACTGAGAAACAGTATGACAAACTTCATAATAAGGGAAGTAACAGACAGAAGGGAAACCCCATAACTACTTCTAGTTCTTCTCAGTCCTGGCCTCAGGAAGAAATTTAAACATAAACTTACTTACCTTTTCCCGGGCCAACCATTTTTCCAGTACAAGAAGCCATACCCAAGCTAATCTTTGAGGGTTGATGTTCTGCCCACATCTGAAAAAGATGAAAAGAAAGACTTTGTAAAAAAGAGTTTCTACTGACCTTTTCTATTTTGTGATCCAATATTTAGATTTCACTGCTCATTCTGTTTTAAACCTGAACAGGCAAGACATTTTCGTACAGAGATATTTTCAAACATATATGACAGTTCAATAAAACACTAGAATCAGTACAGAGCTAGCAGCTTTCATAAAAATAATCCCTCATGTTGGTTACAAACTTAGCACGAATTAAAAATTAAAAAAAAATGTCAATCCCACCTCCATTTCCCTGTCTAGTCTTATTTTTAAACAAAATAACAATACAGAGAAAACCATAATAGTTAATGCTATCTAAAGTATAATCTTGAACATGGAAAGTGAGTCAAATTGCCTTAAAGAAAAAAAGGAACTTCACAAAAATTTATTTTTAACTATATGCTAAAAACAGGATTATAGGAATTCATAAGCATCTCTTTGAAGTTAGGAATTTAGACAATAACTGGCTAGAACTCAAATATAAGGGGAAAAAATAAAGGAAGGAAAGAATCACTTAAGTTTCTCTGTTCTATATGTGCTAATACAATACTTAAATAGTATAACATAACAGTCAAAGGGAAAGACTAAAACAATATATTTGACTCCTATACGACTAGTTGTTAATAGCACTGCCAGGAAGAACTTCATTAAAAGAACTGTTGTTGCCAGGGGACAAGGAGGGGTCATAGTGTAAATACAAAGAAGTAGCACCAAGGTGTTAGGGAGTTCTCTTGGGTGATGGAACAGTTCTACATCCTTATTATGGTGGAATTACATGAATCTATCTATGGATAAAATGGTACAGAATTACAAATGAAAAAAATGCAGATTCAAAAATGGTGAAACCCAAATAACCTATATAATGTTATTAACAGTAATGTACCAACATCAATTTCCTGATTTTGATATTGTACTACAGCTATCTGAGATGTCACAATTGGGGGAAGCTGGGAGAAGGATACACTGGACTCTTATTTTTGTGATTTCTGTGTGTATCTATAATTATTTCAAAATAAAAAGTTTTAAGTGGATTAACTTTCAGTCCTTTGTTAAAGCTACAACAATATCTTCAATCTCATAAGAAAGAAGAGAGCAGGTTTGCTTTATCAGAGGAAAAGAAAATACATTTCAATGCAGTTTCCACCATCTACATTAATGGTGGTAAACAAAAACTGGTGGTTTCAGGTGTACTTTGGTGGCCAGGCTTAAATCCAGTTGCAGATGATAATTTAAAGCCAATATTGACCAAGTAATGAGTATGTATTACAGAGGAAAATTTTCCGAACATGCGAAATACACTCCGCCTCTGCTAATTCTTCAGAAGGTAGTTGAGTGGGGCGTAGTGACCAGAGCCCAAATATTGAACCATGTGGCTTCCGCCCTGAGACTGCCTGGATCCCTTACCTCAGCAGATCTGGACACATCACCAGTGCCTGAAGTATGTCTTCCACCCTCTTTGGGATATCCCCTTGTGCCTCGTGCAGCTGAGGTACACATGCCTGTGCCAGCTCCCATTCTCCCCTCCGGAGGCACTCACAGAAAAATTCGAAAAGCTGCTTCTGGGAAGCATCTTCCTCTTTTCCAAATGGATGATTCATTTTCCCAGCACAAAGTGCAGGGAGATAAGAAGAGATGAGTTATGCCGAACACATTCTCAAATTTTTCATTCGTGGAGTAACTCCTAGAAACCACACAAACGAGAGTGAGAAGAAACGGAAGGAACTCTCTATTTAGACAAACCAGCTACAACTGGCCCAGCTGGGAAAGGCGGGACTTACTTTCCTAATTGTAGTTTTAAGTTTAATTTGACACATTACTGTCTCTTTCTGAGAACTGCTACTTTCTCCAAGGGGTGGATCCCATCTCTCTACCCGGATCCAATATTTAATGTAAATTGTCGTATTAGCCCGGGGCGGCGCAGACCCATAACTCCACTTCCTCATTCCCTTCTGAACTTTATGTCCAGTCGTACTTCAAATTCCCCAGGTGGTCGCCTTCTCAAGGATAAGAAATTCAGTAGGAACCTCCCTAGTTTGAGCCCTCTGTTAAAGCAGAGGACTGAGGATCAGGAGACGAATCTGTGTCAGAACTGGAGAGCAGTGAGGGGTGGGGCGCAGGGACCTACAGGGGTCTTGGACAGCGTCCCCGCCTTCTCTGGGGTGCCTTACACTCACCTGCTCCGGGTGTCCAAAGCAATAGAGCTTCCAGCGCAGCCATGTTTGAACCGAGTCAGGTGACAGATCTCACTCCAGACAGTGGTGGTGGTGGGTGGTGGTGACGACGGAGAGCGCCACTCCTATTGGCTCAACGGTGGGAAGATGAAAATAAAGTGCCATATTTGTTTGAATCACGTGACGCCACCTCGCCAGACTAGGGAAAGCTCCGAAAGAGTAATTCTGCTACCTGCCTGCAGACTATCTCAATCATGACAGCCCCTCCGCTCAACACCTTCAATTCTTCATTCGAGCGAGCAGCTGGCAAGAATAGCTATGCCACTTGTTTTGTTTTTCTTTCTTTCTTTTGCTCTCTTTTTTCCCCTAGCATTTGAAGTCAACATTTACTGAGTGCCAACCAGTGACAGTGTTTTGCCAGGCGCCGCGGATACCAGGAGCTAGGAGACCTGGGCCCTCCCACATTATTATTCTATATGCTTGGGCTCTCTTAGAATCCCAGAACTCTACGGTCTGAATTCCCACATTTTTCTGCTTCTCTCCATTCATTTAGTTGCTCTTTCCCCGATAACTGTTAATTGAACAGTGTGCTAGGTCCTATTTTAGAAGTTGAATAACATGGCGGTTTCTCTCCTCAAGTGAGGGATGCTGACCAATAATTAGGATACAGTCGGCTAAATTAAAAGATAGAGGTATGCACAAGGGATATGAGAGCAAAGAATGAGCAAAGGCTTTTCGAAAATGTAATCTGAAACCGAATCTTAAAGTAAAATTTACTAGGTTTCCTCATCACAGCGGCGACTTTTACACCAAACCAGTTTGTTTTCCCTCATGTTCTACAACTACGGACGCTCAGGTTTTCTCAATATGTGTGTTTCAAGTTGAGTAGTTTGATTCAGCATTTCTCAAACTACCACCAAAAGGTGGTGAAAAGAGCAAATTAAGCAAAAAGCTCTCTTCCCAAAACTCTTCTATGATGCGTGTATTGTCATCCATTCCTCAGAAAACCCAACATGCCGTTCTGGTCCATTAACATTTTTAAAAATGTAGTGATACAAGAAAGAAAAGAAAAAATTCCAAGCAAGGTTTTTCCTTTTCTACATACTCCTCTTTGTGATGTTCCTCCGCTGGATTTTGATAATCACTATATTGAGAAACTGATTCGGATTCCATTACAATTATAAAATTATAAGATAGAGTGTTAATTTAACTACAGTTCCCAGCAAGCAGCGCAGCCGATCTGGGCCTCTGTCTGCCTCTGATTGGATAGAACGGCCAGGGCGACGACCCAACCAGCGCTTCGGTTGTTGGTCTGCGGCTCTTTCCACACTGGGTAAAGTGTGGGGGAAACTTTGAAAGTTGGAGGCTGCATGTCTGGTACTGGAAAGTTTCGTGTGTGTGGAAGTGTGGGGAAGTGGGGTGCGTTCATTATTTCCTGTTCCTTCCCTGGGCCCGTAGGTATCGATATTGGGGAAGCGGAAAGTCTCTTGTGGGTGATGGGCACGCCCCCCTAAGCCGGCAGGGATCTTCACTGAAACCCCTCTGCGGATCCTGGAGCTTTTAGTTTTCTTTTGAGGGTGTGCTTGGAAGATGCTCTTTGTTGGAAAAAATTGAGTTTAGGGGACTCTGGGTGATGTTTTCTTCTCTTGATGCCCACCCTCAGCCTTTTCCTACTTTGGGCAGTTTGGAGTCTAGGCAGGGGAGCCTGTCATTAGGGGAAGAAGAGGGGCTGTTCCACTTCCGATGGTGTTGTAGAGCGTTGAATCTGGAGTCCAATCCCTGGGTTGGAATGCAGGCCCCACCATTTGTCAGCTGTTTGACTTTGTGCAAGTTTCTCAATTCAGTGCCTCAGTATCTTTATCTGTAAAACGAGGTAAAACATCCGAAGCGCTTGAAACAGTGTCTGGCACGTAATTAAGGGCTCATTAAATATTAGCTATTACTGTTACTTCACAGTTTTCGTTGAACATCTGGCATGAGGATTTTTCTTTTCTTGATGATAAGGGTGAGCGGGTTCAATCTCCAGGGTTGAATATCTCCCCTCACCTCTAATCCACATACTTGGCGTGCACACATACATACCCGGCAGGAATTTACTTACTTGTTCTAGTGGAAGAAACAAACTTGTAAGCCATAATAATACATTGAAAAGATTATCGAACAGATATGTATGAAATGTGATGAGAACATTGGAAAGGAAGAGACCTGACTCTAGAGAAGGCTTTGTGGAAGGAATTCAGAGAATCAGGATGGCACTTGTGTAACTAGAGGTACCATGTGGCTGGAGAGCCGGTAATGTGAGATGCAGCAAGTGATGTTTGCTGAATGAATTGATAATGGTAATTGCTAACTTTGAGCAATATGTGCCAGACACTACCCAAGTCCTTTAATCTGAGTCACTGCAATACTATGAAGTAGATATTAGAATCATCCTTGTTTTGCAGATGAGGAAACTACGGCCCTGGGAGGCAAAGTAATTTTGCCAGGAAGGCTAGGATCTGAGTCATGCAGTCTTACATATGAGTGAGAATGAAGTGAAGGACCAATTTTTGAAGGTTTGTTATGCAACCCTAAGAAGTTTGGAATTTATCTGTTGGTCTGCTAGTCCCATAGAAGTGTTAAAAAGATAAGAATGACTTTTTAGGGAGTTATTTCTGGCATGATTGTGACGCTGATCTGACTTGCAGGCCAATTTGGGGCTTCTTCCTTTCTGCTCCCACAGTGCATTTATTAATAAATAGCAATTACAGTATATGGCATGGCTATAGTTATTTGTGTATACATCTCTCGACTGTGAGCACCTGTAGGGGAGGGCATATGCTTCAATTATTCTTTTACCTGAGAGTTCAGCAGAGTGTGTATTTAAGTGTCTGTGGAAGGAGCAAATTAAAGAACAAATGAATAGAGAATAGGTTTTATTTTGGTAGAGTGGAGAATAACCAGAAATAGTATGCAATACTCTAGGAAATTGATGATGGAAGTGTCCCTATTAAGGCTAAGATAGCACAATTGGTTACTGTTAAAGTCCCTGTAGTTTGGAATTTACAGTGTTTTTTTAAAGTTTTAAAGTTTTTTTTTTAATGGAATTGAATTTATCAGTCTAAATGGTCATTGCCTAGAACTGCCTGATCTGAAAAGACACAGGCAATGATATTGCAAATGTCACTTGGTTTTCTTTTGGGGGAAACAGAAATCAATACTAACAAATACCCATTGAGAGAAATGAAGGGGATGTATATTTTGTGTGTGTTTGTGTGTGTGTGTGTGTGAGAGAGAGAGAGAGAATGAGAATGAGAATGTTTTAATCTGATTCAGAGAATTTAGGTGATAGAAATAGATATTTTAAATAGAAATTTGGACCATGATATTGGAAATAAGCAAATATCTACATTCTCAGAATACATATATTTTTGTTACAAAATGTTATTTCTTAATAATTATATTGCTTTATTCCTTGGAACAATGAAGGGTTCCTTCCTCTACTCTTTCCAGAGGATACTTTGACATCTCAGTGAGATGCACAGCCTTTCCTTCACATGCATTATTAAGGGAATCACAATGATTCTGTTCTAGCTCTCTGAAAACAAATATCTCATGAGCCTCATTTATCCCTAGCAAGGTACAACAAGAGTGAAATTTAATCGCATGTGGGAATGTAAATAGCTAGTGTAATAAAGAACAATTTTGGTTTATAGATAATACCCACGATAATAAAATTTCATTTGATTCAGAAGGTTCTGACTCCTAGAAAAAGGAAATGTTAAATAAGATTATGGACTTGCAATAGAATGTAATGGTTAAGAGGGTAGGTTTCAGAGTCAGATTGCTTGGGTTAAAATTTTGGATATATAATTTCTATTTTCTGGTGGCAATGGACTAGCTAACCTTTGTAAGTTTTAGTTTTCTCACATGTAAAAGAGGAGCCAATAATATAATTTCCTTGTAGCGTTGTTGAGAAGATTAAATGTGATAATTTAGGTAAAGGTTGGAACAGTGCCTGGTATATAGTAGGTGCTCAATAAATGTAGCTCTTATTGTTACAGTACAATGAAATAAAGACTTCAGGAGTTCAGTTTCTAAATATGCCTTGAAGGTTAATTACATATCTGAATAAAATTTATAAATATATTGAAAATCTTAAAAGGCTATATAAATGTGAAGTGGTAGTCATTTAGTGAGTATCAAAGAATTGTATAAAATGCATATTCAGAGGGTGCCTGGTTTCTCTGTGTGTATGTCTCTCCTATTTTCTTAGTAATGTTTAAAAAACTATATATTTAATTTTGCATGTGGAGAAGCTTAAAGAATTTTTTATTTTGTAGAGTGTGTTGGAAAGCCCATCCACTATCACTTATGTTACTTTCTGATGTTTTTTCAAGGTTTTTTTCTCTGCTGGAGCTGGAGGCATGGGTAGCAAGAAACTAAGACGAGTAGGCTTATCACCAGAGCTGTGTGACCGTCTAAGCAGACATCAGATTGTTACCTGTCAGGTAAAATTCATTTAAATTTTTTCACTGAAAAATTTTATATATTAAGTATGCCTTAATTAAACCTTAAACCTGAAATATGAAAACTTAAGTTTATGAAAATATATTAATGATGGTGCATTTCCATAGACTAATTTTAAATAACAAGTCACTTGGGGTGCATTTCCAATTGTGATTTCATTTACCCAAATTCAATATTTTTGTATTTTGAGGGGAGAATGGTCATGGCATAAGGTAAAGTACACCTGTGTCATTTTTGGGGGGTTCTAGAGAAGTTTTATCCACTTAAAATAAATTTTGTAATTACATGAGAAATATAACTCAAATGAGATGGTATTCAAAATGGATGATTTCATATTGATGCAGCCTGAGAAATATATAAAGCAGATGTTGCATTTTTAAGCACAATAGTGAAACAAATCTCTCTTGGGAGGACAAATGAGATTTAAGGTTTTATCTTAGGATTTTATTGAGAGGACAAATGAGATTTAAGGATTTTTCTTAGGATTTTATCCTTAATAAGACTGATTTTCAGATCACGGCTACAATTTTTTTGAATTGCTTTGTATGTTAAAGATATCTTTGGTTCCTCTGTTATACATTTTTAATAATTTTCATGTTTGTACTTTGAAATGTTCTTAAAAGTATGAAATTTAATATTTCATTTCATAATCAGTTATATTCTTTCTTAATTATCAAATACTGTCTTAGAGTGAACTCCTAGCTTAGAAAGAAACTCATTTTATCCAGATACTTTCTGGGCATATATTTGTGTTCAAACTCTTTTTGGCACAAGCTGCAGTGCTTATATACACCTGGATTGGATGCTGCTGCTAGTGATGTTACTTGGTGTGTCCTTTGTTATATGCCAACTAAACTGGATATTTAGAAGATAAGACTGTGTTGTCATATCTTTTAGTTAAGGCATATTTAAGGGTAAAATAATGCATAAAACTTTGCTCTACAAAAAAATACACTTTTCTCTACATATGGACAGTATCAGTTGAATATTTCCTTTTAATTCCAATATCTTTGTTACGCATATATGTTTAAAATATTCTTTTTATGTCACTTTAGGACTTTTTATGTCTTTCCCCACTGGAGCTTATGAAGATGACTGGCCTGAGTTATTATGGTGTCCATGAACTTCTGTGTTTGGTTAGCAGGGCCTGTGCCCCACAGATGCAAACGGTATATTTTTATTATGATGTGATTATGAAATGATTCTTTATCTCATTTAAAATCTTTTTTGGGATGAGACAATTATAAAAATAGAAATAAGTACCTCAAAAATATTGAGTCCATAGAGTTAGTTCTCTAATGAGAATATATGTGAAAAATTTATGTAGTTTGTAAACTCATGGGAGACAATTCCCAAATATGGGAATTAGGGAGCAACAGGAAGTTTTTATTTTTTTCTGTTGCTGATAGTGATATTTCAAAATGTCATCTTTCTCTGTTGATTGATTGGCTAGGATTTGAGGGCTTCATGGTTAAATGATAAATACTCTTAATTTTAGAATGCGCCTTTTTCTATGCAATACTGACCTTTACTATCATCATTTACTCTACATCATAAAGTACACATAATTGTACTTATTTAGAAATTTTTTTTTTTTTTTTGAGACAGAGTCTCGCTTGTTGCCCAGGCTAGAGTGAGTGCCGTGGAGTCAGCCTAGCTCACAGCAACCTCAAACTCCTGGGCTCAAGCAATCCTGCTGCCTCAGCCTCCCAGAGTGCTAGGATTACAGGCGTGAGCCACCGCGCCCGGGTTATTTAGAAATTTTTAAAAAATTTATTTAATTATTTATTTATTTTTAGAGACAGAGTCTTGCTCTGTCACCCATGCTGGAGTGCTATGGCATGATCATAGCTTACTGTAACCTCAAACTTCTGGGCTCAAGTGATCCTCCTGCCTCAGCCTCCTGAGTAGCTAGGACTATAGGTGTGTGTCATTATGCCTAGCTAATTTTTTAAAAATTTTGTTTTGTAGAGGTGAGGTCTTGCTGTGTTGCGTAAGCTGGTCTCAAACTCTTTTTTTTTTTTTTTTTTTTTTATTGAGCCCCAACTTAAGCATTATGGTCTCAAACTCTTGATGTCATGAAATCCTACCTCTCTCCTCCCCTCTTAAAGGGCTAGGATTTCAGATGTGAGCCACCCTGCCTTGCCCTCTGCTTGCTTATTAATTGAATAAATGACATTTAAAAATTTATCCTTACTCTTGAAAAAAGTTGAAGTCTTTTAAAACAAAATAGTCATTTGTACTATTTTGTCACACTTTGTGTGTCATGACTATAGCTTTTCAAAATGTAGGTTTGGGGCATGGTAGAAAAGATCTTGTTTTCTCAGAATAAGAGTTGTCTAAAAGTTCATTCAGTGCTTTGCAAATGTATTTATTTATGTGAACCATAAATTATTTACCTTATTATCTTGTATTGAAATTTGGTAACCACTGAGCAATAAAGTAAGGTGCAATTCTCTGAAGAAGGAAATAAGGAAGGAATGTTAGTGTCATTTGAAACTTCTGAAAACAACAAATAAAATATTTGAACAACATATTTTCTTTTGCTCAGATTTAGCTTGTGATCTAAAGAAAATATTTTGAAGACAGGATAGTCAGAAGGAGAATTAGAATTGGAGTTAGGAATCGCCACTAGTATTGGCTTTATCATTGATTTCATTGTTTTGAACAGCTCTTTGTTTTATGGGAAAAGATAGAAAGTTAAAATAGTATATGGAAATAGTATGTGCAAAACTGTGGATAAGGGGAGATTACAGGTCTGTGTACCTGGCTTTAGAGATAGATGCTAGTCCCAGAAGTTTTTACCCCACTATTACCCTCTTCTAGCCACCATTATTCTTTTTCAGAATGATTGTTTTATCTTCCTGACAGATCTCCCAGCTTTCAGTATTACTCACCTTCAAGCTGTTATTCATTAACCAACCTGAGTATCTCTTTGAAATGATAATTTGTTACATTAGTTTCCTGGGACAGCTCTAACACAAATTACAACAAACTAGATGGGTTCAAACAACAGAAATTTATTTCCTCATAGTTCTGGATGCCCGAGGTTGGAAGTTATGGTGTAGGCAGAGCTGTGCTCTATCCAGAGGCTCTAGAGGATAATCCATTCTTTGCTTTGAAGGATAAGCCTCTTCAAGCTTTTGGTAGCTGTTGGCATTCCTTGGCTTGTGGCCACTTTTCTCTGTTCCATCTCACATCACCTTTTCTTCTGTATATTGAATCTCCCTCCGCTTCTCTCTTATAAGGATACTTGTGGTAATATTTAGGGCCTACGTGGATAAACACGTAGATGATTATCTCTTCATTGTAAAGTCTTTAATTTAATCATCTCTGCAAAGACCCTTTTTGCAAATACAGTAACATTCACAGATTCTAGGGATTTGATGTGGCTGTCTTCTGGGTAGGTCATTTTTCAGTCTACCACGCTTCTTCAAGCTATTCTTCACCAGCCAATCTGAGTATCATCTCTGCTTTCTCTAGTATAGTATCTCTTATTAATTTTGTTGTAATTGCCTCGTTTCTAGTCCTAATTTCATGGTCCCTGGTTGATTATAGGACTGTTATGTCATATTCCCACAGTCTGGCATGGTCCTTGGTACAGAGTAAATATTTGTTGAACAGATAAATAATAGAGGAAAAAAGGATGGATTGGGGTTACAGCTGCTAAAATCTAGAGAACTGGAGTTGGTTCATGTTTTTGAATAGATATAGAGGTTGAAAAGAACTTAATCATTTTCTTATACAGGCTTATGGAATGAAGGCACAAAGGTCTGCTGATGTCTCACCAGGGTTCTTACCTACTACACTTTCTGCTTTGGATGAAGCCTTGCATGGTGGTGTGGCTTGTGGATCCCTCACAGAGGTAAAGGAAAAACTTTTAATACCTTCAGAGCCAGGAAAAAGAGTTTACTTTGAAAACATAAATTATTTCTCGAACATTAATCTGAATTAAATTGAAGCACTTCAAGAGTATGGTTCCCCACTCAGTACTTCGTATATAGCTCTGCAAACAATGGTATTAAAAAAAAAATCTTTGTTAACTAAATTTTCTTAGGTTGCTCTTTCTTTGAAGTAACGTAGAAAGTGATAAATATTATGAAATAATATTATGAAACAATTTGGGGAAATTTAAAAATGATTATTATTTATTAGAATTATTATTTATTAGAATTATTATTATAAATTAGAAAGGAAGATTTGAAATTTTATTAATATATGGGCAAATTATAACTAAAGTGAGCTATTGTTACTTTTTTTATAGATACAATTTGGTCTAGGAAGTCATAGTTGTTTGATTAGTTAATATTGTTGCATAACAAATTATCCCAAAACTAAGTAACAACAAAAAACATTTATTGTTTCTCAGATTCTTTGTGAGTAGCTTAGCTTAGCAATGTTGGCAAGGGATGCAGTTATCTGAAACTTGTTTGGGGCTGTTGGATCAGTTTCCAAGGGGCTCACTCACATGACTGGCAAGTTGGTGCTGGTTGTGGGCAGGAGGCCACAGTTCCTCCCCAGCTGGGCTTTCCGAAGACTGCTTGAGTCACCTGACATGATGGCTGACTCCCCCAGGGGGAATGGTCCCAAAGAAGGCAAGAGGGTAATTTCGATGACCTAGCTTTGGAAGTTACATACCATTGCTTCTGCCACATTCTTGTCATTAGAAGTGAGTTAAGTCTAGCCCACATTCAGGGAAAGGGAAATTAAGCTCTACCTTTTGAAGGAAGATGTGTCAAGGATCTGAATATATTTTCAAACTTTGAAAACTGCTTATGGATGTGGTGAATTGACTTTGTTTACTAATACACTCCTGAGGACAACTTGCCTGAAGGTTCTAGGGGCATGGATACTTTCAGCAAACCACTCTAGAAAAAGATTCTTTTCATGCATTCTGGTAGTCATAATTTAACTGTAGATTTTTTTCCCTTGAAGATAGAGATCCTGTTTTAGATACTATACGTTATTATTTTTATTTCCTTTATTCTAAGATTGATTTAAAGGTGTGTGTGAGCTATGCCTAGTAGATACCTAGTAAATAGTTGGTAAATGAGTTAATTAATTAAAAATAAATCCCTTCACCCTTGCTGTTGCAGTGTACTGCCACCAGGTGGTGCCAGAATCATAACATCTTACATAATGTTTTTGGGCTCAAGTTGGACCAGCTCAAATAAGGTTTTTTTTTTCATACTAGCAAAATACTTTTATTATTTTTATAATGATAAAACAAAGAAAAAATTTTTTTTTTTGGTGTATACAGAGTTAAGGGCAGTAAAAGAATAAGGGAATTAATAGGATTTCTATATACTTTTGATGACAATAAAAAGTTAACAATACCGTTTGCCATAAAACTTATCATAGCTCCCCCAAAACACATATATAAGATCATAGTTTAAAAATCTATAAAAGTAAAAAATATACAGTTGGAAGCTCTAACGCTTATTCTGTCTTTAATATAAAATTGTAAACATTTATTTACACAAAGCAAATGTGTGTAATAAAAGCCCGAGCGCCCTTTCTTCTGAGTCGTGGCTCCTGGAAGATGGGGCTGTGCACAGAAGCAGGGTCATCTCCTCCCGACTCCCAAAACCAGATTTATAAATAAAGCCATGGGCAGCTCCTGGGGGGACCCCAAGAATCACATTTTATTTCAATAAGGTTTTTAACAACAGTGATCTATAGTCATAAACTTACTTATTTAAATAGCAAAAAATTTAACTTAAGATTAACTAGCAAATTCTTTCTATTTTTTAAGTTTTAGAATAATTTTCAGTATTTTTACACTTAGCTTTATTAATTCTAATTCCAAGTGGAAGTTTCAATCCTTTTAGGTGTTTTGTTTGTGATCTACTTGGCTGACTTGGAGTATAAATACTCTGACTGCTTATTAGTGGCAAGTTCTTTACTTCTGTTCTAGCTCCAGGTAGCCTCTTTAATCTTTTTATGTTTTTCAGCTGAGTACAGTTTACCTTCTGTTAAAAAACAAAAGTACTTTTGCTTTCATTATTATTATTTTTGACCCATAATAATTGTACATATTTATGGGGTAGAGTGTGATATTTTGATATGTGTATATAATGTGTAATGATCAGAGTGAGTAGCATATCCATCACCTCAAACATTTATCCTTTCTTTGTGTTGGGAACATTCAAAATCTGTTCTTGTAGCTATTTGAAAATATGTAAATAAAAAATATACAATAAATTATTAATTATAGTCACCCTACATATCATCCTATAGAACACTAGAACTTACTCCTATCTAGCTGTACTTTTTTATCTATTTACCAACCTTTGGCTATTCCCTTCCACTCTCCTACTCTTTCCAGCCTTGTGGTAACCTTTATTCTACTCTCAACTTCTGTGGGATCAACTTTTTTGGCTTCCACATGTGAGTGAGAACATGTGGTATTTATCTTTCTGTGCCTGGCTTAATGAGATGTTCCCCAAGCTTATCCATGTTGACACCAATGACAGAATTTTGTTCTTTTTTTATGATGAAATAGTATTCCATTGTGTATATATGCCACATTTTTTTTTAATCCATTCATTTGTTGATGGACATTTAGGTTGATTCCATATCTTGGCTATTGTGAATTAGTGCTGCAGTAAACATGGAAGTACAGATATCTCTTCAACATACTGGTTTTCTTTCCTTTGAATATATACCCAGTAGTGAGATTGTTGAATCATATGGTAGTTTCAGTTTTAGGTTTTTGAGGAACCTCCATACTGTTTCCATAAAGACTGTGCTAATTTATATTCCTATCAACAGTGTATAAGAGTTACCCTTTTTTCACATCCTTGCCAGAATCTATTATTTTTCATCTTTTAAATAATAACCATTCTAAATGTGTAATGTGGCATCTCATTGTGCTTTTTTTTTTTTTTTTTTTTGAGATGGAGTCTCTGTTGCCCAGGCTAGAGTGAGTGCCCTGACATCAGCCTAGCTCACAGCAACCTCAAACTCCTGGGCTCAAGCAATCCTGCTGCCTCAGCCTCCTTAGTAGCTGAGACTATAGGCATGCACCACCATGCCCGGCTAATTTTTTCTATATATATGTTAGTTGGCCAATTAATTTCTTTCTATTTATAGTAGAGATGGGGTCTCACTCTTGCTAAGGCTGCTTTCGAACTCCTGACCTTGAGTGATCTGCCCGCCTCGGCCTCCCAGAGTGCTAGGATTACAGGCCCACCCAGCCCTCATTGTGCTTTTGATTTGTATTTACCTCATGATTAGCAATGTTGAGAATTTTTTCATATACCAGTTGGCCATTTGCATGTCTTCTTTTAAGAGATGTCTATTCAACTCATTTGCCTGTTTTTTAATTAGGTTATTTGAGAAACAAAGTTTTTTTTTTTTTTTTTTTTTTTTTTGAGACAGAGTCTCGCTTTGTTGTCCAGGCTAGAGTGAGTGCCGTGGCGTCAGCCTAGCTCACAGCAACCTCAAACTCCTGGGCTCCAGTGATCCTTCTGCCTCAGCCTCCCTAGTAGCTGGGACGGCTAATTTTTATATATATATATCAGTTGGCCAATTAATTTCTTTCTATTTATAGTAGAGACGGGTCTCGCTCTTGCTCAGGCTGGTTTTGAACTCCTGACCTTGAGCAATCCGCCCGCCTCGGCCTCCCAAGAGCTAGGATTACAGCGTGAGCCACAGCGCCTGGCCGAGAAACAAAGTTTTATATATATATTTTATGTAAAGGAAATCTATAAATATTAAATATATTAAATTAAATATATCCTACATTTATAAGTTATGCATTCTTATGAGCCTATGACTCAATACAAAAATCAGAACAATACCAAAACAATTGAAATTAACTGTGCGCCTTCCTGATCTTATCTTTGGCCTTTTTTTTTTTTTTTTTTTTTTGAGACAGAGTCTCTCTCTGTTGCCCAGGCTAGAGTACAGTGGCATCATAGCTCACTGCATCCTGAAACTCCAGGGCTAAAGTGATCCTCCTGCCTTTGCCTCCCAAAGTACTAGGATTATAGGCATGAGCCACCGTGCCCAGCCTCTTTGGCCTTCTTTTGGGAGGTAAACTCCATCCTGAATTTTTACCATTCTCTATAGTTTCCTACACCTATAGATTTCCTTTACTTCTATATACTTACATATGAGCTAGAAAAACATTTTAGTTTGTTTGGCTTATTTGTGAGCTTGTAAAATCATGTGTCTGATTAAATCATTCCTCATATCTCTTCTATGAATTGCTTTTCTTAATGTTGTTTCTAAAATTTATCCCTGTTGTTACAGGTAGCAACAGTATAATTCACTTTCATTGCTGTATCATATTACATTGTGAAAATGTGCCACAACTTATTTATCTCTTCTTCTGTGAGTGAATATTGGATTGTTTCCAATATGCTGCTAGTATGAACAAGTCCTGTGAAAATTCTTGTATGTGTTTCCTGGATCACATGTGCAAGTATTTCTTTAGGGCAGGGACTGACAAACTATTTTCCAGTGTTCAAATCTGGCTGCCTGACTTTGTAAATAAAGCTTTATTGTAACACAGATATACTCATTTGTTTCTGTCTTGTCTCTGGATGTTTTTTGATACAAGGGCAGAGTTGACTTAGTGTGACAGAGACCATGTGGTCTGCAAAGCCTAAAATATTTACTGTGTGGCCCCTATTTAGCGTATCTGCCTTGGAGTGATTTGGTGGTTACAGGGTACATACACAGGTAACTGCAAAATCAGGACAGATTGTGCCTGTTTGCAGTCCTACCAGTGGTTCACAAGTTTATCTTGCTCCCTATCTTCTTGCCTTTATATTAGAATACTTCTGCCCATCTTTGTGATCTTTGTTTTCATTTTCCTAATTACGAATGAACTTAGACATCTCTTCATAGGTCATT